TGACCTCCCAGCTCAAGTGATCCTCCCACTTTAGCCTCCCGAGTAGCTGGGACTATAGCCACGCACCACATGCCCAGCTAAGTTTTAAAAGTTTTGTGGAGATGGAGTCTCACTTTGTTGCCCAGGCTGGTCTCAAACTCCTAGGCTCAAGCGATCCTCTTGCCTTGGCCTCCCAAAGTGCTAGGATTACAAGTGCACACCATTGCACTTGGCCCTTTTCTTTACAGTGTAATAATAATTAAGTTGTTGAATTTTTCGAGATTGTTTCCTTCACTAGACTATAAGTTGTATAGAGGATATAGGATTGTTTTGTTCTCTGTTATATTTATTGGACTTAGTTCTATTTAAGTAAGTTGTATTTAAGTACTGACTTAGATGTATTTGTTGGGTTTGGTATCCAGTTCTGAACCAAGCAATCAGTGTTTCTTGAATTAACAGATTCCTCCCATTTGCTGATACTCCATTCTATATTAACATCACATTCCACTTGCACTATTGCAATATCCATTAAATTAATCTCCAATCTCCTCTAATTGACCTTATATAGTACTGCCAGATGGTTAAAGTGTGTTTTTTAACCTGCCAGTCCCCAGGTCAAGAATGCATGCTATTAATAGTTCCTCATTTCTTAACTGCATCAAATCTCAAACTATTTCTGTATAATGTCTGAGCAACTTTGCCTTATCACCCCTCTCAACAGTCAAACTAGGTTTCCTCGGTGTCCCCACACATGAACACTAACAACTCTTTCAGTGCTATTAGTCCTCACCTGTAGTGTGAGAGCCCCTCCTTTCTCATTGCTGTTCATTCATACAGTGTATGAATGTGGGCCTGACAGCTATAGGAGGGCATTGTGCCAGGAACTCTCCTCATTCTTTGTGCTAACAATACGATCTTGGTCAATTCAGCCTCTTTATTTTTATCTGTAAAGTGGAATACTGTTGATACTTCATAGCAATGTTGTAGAGATTTCATTCAGTAATCCACATTAGGCATCTATGTAGCACCATACCTAGTGCATGGTGAGTTCAGTAAATGCTAGTTGTTTTTGCTCATTGTTCAAGACCCAGTTCCAGTCTTCCGTCTCCAGAAGTCTTTCAGCTTTTTCTCAGATCCTGCCTACCAAGGCTTCAGAGCCTTAGTATGGGGGAACTAAAGGTGGTTCTTGTGGAGTGTTGCAAAAAGCTTCCAAGGATTTATCCTTGTGTTAACACTGTAGGTCTTAAGTGAGAAACAGCATATAGAGTTTAGTGGAAAGAAGATTAAATGGGAGTCAGGAGATTTGGGAGTTGGCTCCTAACTTTCTGACCCTGACCCTAGTCCAGGCAAATCACTTTACCCATCTGGCCTTCAGATTTATCTGTAAAATGAGTACATTAAAGTGTATAGATTCTAATGATTCTTTCCAGCCCTGCTAAGTACTTAGTATTTAAATGATGATCAAAAAACAGTGACAAAAATACAGCATGACATGGTTTCTCTGAATCTTTTCCTTAGCCACCTGAATACTCTTAACCCTTAAGTATAGAGAACAACACAAGGTTCTTAGGAAAGAGATACACTAACAGTTCTGGAGTGTTTCACCATGGAGCGCAGGCCAGACTTCAAATTCTTTTAAGAATAGGGTTTATTGTCTCTTCTTTCCTAATGGGGCTGCACTTAAGCCATGTATGCAGACTTAAGATGTATTACAAGCCTTTGATTTACTTGGTAAAGTTATGCGTATTCTCTTGAGGATAAGTAGTGAGCCATCAGTCCTGTTGCTTTTGCAAAGGACTTTAATTATCGTGTCATCTTTGTCTCTAGGATCCAAACCAAGCCGATGAAGAAGCAATGACACAGATCATCCGAGTGTCCTAACCCCAGGCCATATGATGGAGCTGATCAAGGTCATGTTTCTCACCAGTTTCTCACTGTTCCAGGAAATTGATCAACTCTTCCAATGGGACATTGACGATCACATTCTGCCCTTTTCTACAGGACGGAAACCACTTAGTTTTTCATAAGTGGCTCAGTATTACAATTGCAGCAATGCCTGGCAAATTGAAGTTGCAAGCCTTTGTCTTACTCTTTCAGTCAGGACCTATTTCAGACTGTTGATCACACTGACATTTCATGGATTCGGATGATGCAAGGAGACACATGCCACCCCAGCAGTACACAAAGCACTTACGTTGACTGGTGACGTGAGCCAGCCATCTCAGCAGGGAAAAACAACCTTCTCAACCAAAACTGCAATCAGGAAAGCAGCAGCCCACTCCTTCCCATGGAATCTAGACAGTATTTATCCCTCTGGTGGGGGAATCTCACACTGACTAACTGAAATGGACGCTTTGTATTCAGAGATGGCTTCCAAGCAAGGAAGTTCTATCTTGTGATATGGAAACAATAAATTTCTGAGATACATTCTTCTAATCTGTGGTAATAATAAGAATTCCTGTCTGCCTAGATGGTAGGTTGGTATTTCTGGACTCTAGCCAAGAAAAAGCTAACTCTGGGGATAGAATGATAAAAGACTCAAGCACTAAAAATATACATTGCCGAATCTCTTTTTCTAGCTTTGAAAAGTTGTGGCCTGCTTGTCCCTCTGTTGACTGGTCATCTGGACCATCGTACTTGCTGTGGCTACTTCTAAGACAATGTAGAGGATATTGAACCTTGAAACTGCCTTTCCTAAGTAGAGAACAAGACTATTCAACAACTTCTTTGCTGAAGCACTGAGGACATTTGTAGTACTCCTAAAGGGAGAGCCAAACTAGAGATTTTCAATCATAGACTTTGTGACAGCATTTGGGGAACTGAAAGGTTCATGTGTTTCATCCTAGGAGGAGAGAGTGGGGTGGGGAGAGAGAGAGAGAGAGAGAGAGAGAGAGAGAGAGAGAGAGAGCATGTACACCCATATGTTATCATAGAGCACGATTCTCCAGTGGATGGATACCTGGAATGGATCATTAAGATGAAGAGAGTAATTCACACTCTAGAACCTTTAACAAGCACTGAAAGGAAGAAGCCTGAGATTTGGTCCTTGGCAATTTGTGGAAAGCACTGATCCATCACGCTGTCCTGAACAGAGTCCAAGTTACCCACTAAAGCTTGAGGTGGATGTTGGCTTCACTCCCGCAGCACAATGCTGGCCCTAGAAAGCGAGCATTTTCATTCTTCCCATGGCAGCTGATTCTTTGGTGCCAGTTTTCATGTTTTCTCCATAGGCCTTGTGCAGAAAGGTTTTCTCATTGCATCCGTACTGTGAGAATAAACTGCAGACTAGAAAGAAACATGCCTGCAGGGTCAGGAACTGGGCCACTGTTCCCAGAATGGGTTGTGCCTCAGAATTCTATTTCTCCTTTAGATGTTGAACCCTGAGAGAACTAAGATGATATTTCAGAAGAGTTGGCTGCCTTCTCTGGAAACAAGGAAAACCCAATAATTCTGAGGAACATTGGGGGTCAAATACCAAGAATAAAAATTGGTTCTTTGACTTCAGCTTAACTGTATTAAGACAGAAATTAAGCCCTCTAAAAACACCACAAAGAGAGATCATTGTAATGATAGAAATAGAGGTACAGAGCTATGCAAAGGAAACAGGAAGTGAAATCTTACTAGTCCCAGGGATCTGGTAATCTGTCCTGGCTTCCAGATGTCAAAGGGCTGATCCTTTGGTAAGCTCACTAGAAACTTCTGGCTCTCTACAAGAGTTTGGGATATTAATGTTATTCAGTAAGTCCCAAGTTTTTCAGAGGATAGATTACTAACAATGAGGAATTTATATTCCTTGGTTAATTTAGGAGTCTAAGATGCAGAGTTCAGAAAGAAATTACTCAGACCTAACTCTGAGTGCTTAAGCCGCCAACAGTTAGAAGATGCTATTTATTTGTGTCTGTAAGTTTGTACATAGTAATAATGCCAACCTTGTTGCTGAATTTTTTATTTGTGGGGGATGAGTTTGAATTTTGTTTGAAATGCTTCAGTTGTCATTTTGTCATTGCATTTCAAATAGCTCATGACCCTTTTCTTGTGGTCACTTTAGCACACCATAGTAGCCCACAAAGTGGGGGCAGGGTATTGACATTTGGATTTTTTCTTTGATTCTAGTTCTTTTATTCATTTTTATTTGTGACTGTAGTGATGACTTCACAGATGGAGAAAGAGTGAATGGATGAATGAATAATTGGTTTAATGCCTAGTTATGCAACTTGAGTGCTTTTTTTTTGGCAGGATAATTTAAAGTGTATATATTTTAACTGCACTGGTACATTGAACATGTCAGTGTCAATGCCACTGGACCAACAGAGCATTTTGTGGCTATAGGGTGCCTGGTAATAATGTCTTGATTTTTCTTTGGGACTCAACTATATTGAAGGTTTTTCCCCCAGCAGTATGGGGTGTACAGGTGATTGATCATTAATGCCATTGCAATTGTTATTTTTTAAAATAAATTTATAAAAATTACCAAAAAGTAATGTGACTTTTGGGGAATCTGCAACTCCTGGGTTCTAGGTTGTGTTTCCAATGTTGAAATTGTGACCTCTGCCGACAAGATATGTCTGCATGGACGGTGTCTCTGTAAACAGTATCTAACTTGTAATGTCTGGGCCTCTTAGCTTTATCTCCCCTTAATTTCTTCCCTTTTGGCCCTTCCACCCTGTTGAGGAGATATTTTCTGTCAATTGCAGGCTGATCATACATTTGATGCTACTACTGAAAGTGTTTATCAAAATGTGACGAAAATTAGCCCTTATCACAAAAACAGCCTTGATTAAGTATTGTAGAATTACAGGTAGTGAAGATGTACTTTTTACATTTTGTTAGATTTTGTTTTGGCAGAAGACCAAAACAAAAGTACTTTTCTGATGGTTAAAAATCCACAGCATGCTCACCTTGTTACTGTTTTACCTTACGGTCACTGGTAATCTAAGCAACAAAGACTAGAAACCTCCGATATGCCATTGTCACACACGAGAGACAAACAGCATTCGTGATGAGAGCAGGAGACCTGCCCTGGCAGATAAGAGGAGAAACTCACCACAACAATGAAGGAAAAGGACTGACAGTATTCGATAGATTTAGTCAAACTGTGCTTGAGTTTGGCTTAGATTTATGCCAGTAGAACCTGTCCTTAACAAATTCAGAGATGACCCAAGATTCTACTCTGTGGTATGGGGGAAAGACCTCTCGATATTTATCTCACATCAACGGCTTTACCGCAGGAGCGTCTACACCTCCCCAGTTTCCTGTAGAAAAGACCGCTTTGCTCCTTTGAAAGCGCGGACTGCAACACCTCCAGCCCCTTCTCCCCGCGGAACTCGGCCCGCGAAGGTTGTGGGAAGGTGGTGGGGCGGGGACTGCAGCCGCTTCCGATTGGCGTTGCCCCAAGGAAGCCTGCGCGGATTGGTCGGCGGCAGGACCCGCAACAGAGCCTCCCATGCGGATTGGTTGCTACGCAGCTGGACCCTGTTTCCGGTACCTGGGCGGGCAGCTATGGTGACTGGCAGGCGGGATGCGAAGCTGCCTGTGTGGCCGGTGGAGGCCCGCTTGGCGGCACTGCTTCCCGACCTACTGGTCTTTCGGAAGCCCCGGGGATCGGAATCCGAGCTCGCCACGGCCCAGGGAGTCCTCCTAGGCGTCCATGTGACGGGTGAGGGCGATGGCCGGCACTTCAGCCTCCTGGCCTGCGGGAGAGGCGGCCGTTGGGTCTAAGCGCCTGGAGGCCGCGACGGTTACAGACCTAGCCTCCCGCGAGCTAAGGCACAGTTTAACTTCGTCCCGCGGCTTCCGCAGGAAACTTTGAGGGTCTTCATTTTAGCGTGGGAAGACATCTTTTGGGATGAACCAGCTCAGCCCTTGAGCTCACCTCAAAGATGATGAAATTGAAACTCAGAGGAAACGATTTTTACAGGACCACGCAGCGGGCTTTGAACCCGTGTCTCCCAACCCCGAGCAATTTCTATTAAGCGTTCTGTTTCAGTTATTTTATTCTTTCAATTAATTCATTCTTGGCGTCGTTAAGTATGTGCTTGCCATTGTTCTGGCTGTAGCTATCTAGCAGCCACTCCTAGAGTTGTTCATTTAACAGATATTTATTCTGTGTCAGGGATATGAAGATGGGTAATACCAGGTGCCTGTCCTCACCGTGTGAGTGATTCTCTGGCCAGACATGAGGAGGGATCCTGTTGTTTCCTATAGCCAGGCAGCTGCCTAAGAGGGTGGGGGAAAGAGCTGGCTCCAGATGAAAAGGGCACCATCTCCAGCTCCTGGAAGCAGAGAGGGTGGTCCTCTGGATTCCCAGTGGCAGCGGCAACCAACCTGGCCCTTAGTAGTTTCTAAGTTACATCATGTTAATGGATAAAGGAATTACTCAGCTTGAAGAGATCTGTTTCCTTTACACCAGGCTGATGTGTGGGGAGAAAGGGGCCAAGAGTTAGGATTTGGAGTTAACATGGTAATTTCTGCTTTGTTGGTCAGGGTTTACAGCATTAATGGACAGGTTCAGCCTGACCTGCAAGTCGGAACGTGACATGGACAAACTGGCCCACATCTTCAGTTACTACATTAGTGACATCGTGGAGCGTGAGTGATCATTGTAGGGTAACAAGGTGTGGTGCTGGGCTCCTGAGGGTTTATAAAAGAAGGTGGCCAGAAGTACTTTAAAACAGGTACTAAAGGGTCATTCCTTTAGCATCATTCATCTTTGGTTTCTTCAAGTTGCCACTGAAAAGCTAGACCTTTGCCTGTTATCTGCCATTCTACCCAGTCTTACATTCTATTGACTCATTGTTCAAAGGTGGGGCAGGAGGAGCTAATTTACTTTGCACATTTGTATTTTATTTCAGAATAAAGTGTTCTAACAATAATGTATCTCAAGTGTGTATTTAGACCAAGTTTATAAAACATCTTTTTATTCTATTATTATATTTTGATCCTGTGAGGAAGGAATAGGTGTTTTCTTATTTTCTGCCATGTATTAAGCTTTTAGATATTTGCCAAATTTCCAGTATCTGGAAAAAAACTCATTTGTGCAGTACCCATGTTTTGAGTACCTACTCTGTGAGATGGACTGTAATAGGTGCAGGCGGGGCAAGAACCCACTCTTGGACTTTTTGGTTAGGCCTACCCAACAGAAATTACTCTGACCTTATACCTTTTAGTACTTAGGTAACATTCTCATCCTTTACTGACAGCTCGCTATATGTTTCTATCCATCATTCTGAGATTCACCAGAATAATTACTTTGTGGCATCTCCATTAAGAATTTGATTATTTGACTTACCTCTTATCCTTAAGGAATACATATGGAAGGGTGTTTGCTTTTCTCATAGGTTTGGATGAAGGGGAAGATACAAATTCTGTATCGTGTATGTACTCTAATACCAGCAACTGCTGGGTACTAGAAATACAGGGCAAAGTAAGACAGAGTACCTTCATTTAGTTTCCATTTTAGTGGGACAGACAATAAGTAAACAATAATTGTAGCTTCTACATTCTATTAAGGAAATAAACATAGTATAGTGATATAAAAAAAATAAGGATAGGGGAGTGTATGAGACAGGGTGGTCATAGAAGGCTCCTCTGAGGAGGTATTATTTAAGCTGACACATGAAGGATGAGGGGAACAGCTTGTGAAGAAATAGGGGTAAAGCATTTCCGACAGAATACCAAGTGCAGAGGTCCTGAGACAGGAGAAAGCTCGGCACACTCCAGAAGCTAATAGAAGGCCAGTGCAGGCCAAAACGTAGCTTGCGGGGTGAAGAGTGGTTTGAGGCAAGGTTGAGGGTTGATAGCTATGAGATCACCAAGTTCTGTAGTCCATAGTAAAGAGTTGGAATTATATATTTCTGTATAAAGGAAAACTGGAAAGGTCTAGCAGGGGAGTAATATGATCTGATTAACACTTTAAAACTGATTTTGGCTACTGTGTGGAGATTGAATGCTGGTGGAGAGTGAATTTAAGAATAGAAGCTGGAAGGGACAATTGTCCTGGAAAGATGATGGAGATTTTGTCTAGAGCAGTGGTTCTCAACCTCAGCTGTGGTTGCCTGAGGAGCTTTTTGATTGTTTTATTCTTTTTTCTATATTTTGTTTTTTTTGTTTTGGAAGAAACTGGGGTCTCAGTATGTTGCCAAGTTTGTCTTGAACTCTAGAGCTTAAAAGGTTCTTCTGCCTCAACCTCTCAAATAGCTGGGACTACAGGTACCGTACCACCTTGTCTAACTAAAAATCTTAATGCCTAAGCTTCACCCCAGGCCATTTAAATCAGAATTTCTTGAGGTTGGCCCAGGAATAAGATCTTTTAAAGTTTCATAGGCAATTCCAATGTGCAGTCAAGACTGAAGATTGTTGGTGTAGAGGTATGGCAGGGGAGCTGCGTGGGGTAGATTAACCTGAAATATATTTTGCAGGTTCAACAGATAGGAGTTGCTAATACATTAAATTTCAGTGGGAAGTGGTGAGAAAAAGGACTCAGTTTTTTGGCTTTCATAAATGAATTGATCATGTCATTTACCAAGACAGGAAAGACTGAACATTGAGAAAGAAAATGAAGAGTTCTGTTTTGAATATGTTGAGTTTGAGATGCCAGTAAGTCTTTCAAGTGGAGAGTGACTCCATTCAATTGGAGAATCCAGCTATGATTGAGCCTGGAGCTCAGAGAAGAGTTCCCTGTTAGGAATGAAAATGTGAGTTGATGGCATAAAGTGGGACTTAAGAACCAATTGAGTTCATGTTGGAAGAGCGTAAATAAAGAGAAAGAACCTTTGGCTGAGGCTTGAGGAGCTCCAGGGAAGGATTATGATAAGGGAGAAAGAACCTGAAAAAGAGACTACAAACAGCCAGTGAGGTAGGATATTGTGGTGTTCCTGAAGCCAAAGGAGAGGTAGCGTCTCTAGAAGAAAGCTGCAGCTAGCTGGGTTGAACATGACAGCTGTCAAGTACAGTGAGGTCAGAGAAGTATTGAATTTAGCAAGATTAATGCTGTTGATGACCTTGATAATTTGAAGTAGTGGAGATGGAAGTCAGATTGGAGTAAGCTGAGAAAAAGAATAGCAGAGAAAACATTTATGAGGAAAATATATGTAGCCAACTTTTTGAGATTTGGGGGTATTGTTTGTTGTGAATATAGCAGGAAAAAAAAATGGAGCTAATAGGCAGAAGAGAAGGTAGAGCCAAGAATATGTGGGTTATTTTTGTGTGTTTTGGTTTTGTTTTTTGCTATTGATGAGAATGTTTCAGTAGAGAGATTAGGAACAGTGTGAAGTTCTCGAGAAGGTAAAAGGGGTAAGATTCCTATCACAAATGGGGTGGCTTTGAAGAGAGCAGGAATACTTCCATTTTAGAAAAGATGTATGTAGGTGCAGATAGATTTGGGGAGAAAATGACAAGAAGGAAGAAGGAACCTGAGTCTTGGAGTGAGCAAATGGACAAGAATGACATGAGGATAAACTCAGTAGGCCATTCTTTTGACCATATATGATTCTGCCCTGATCTGATTTATATCTGATTTTGACTCATTTTCCTCTCTCTTTCTTACCTGATTTCAGATGTTCTCTGTTTTGGAGGGGATATCCTAAATATCACAGGTATTTTTTCAGTTTTTCTAAATACTTAAAAGATTGTGAGTGAGGAGGACTATATTTAGGTGGAATTCAGCATATTGGTTTATTCAGCATTGTTTGATTAAAAGGTACTGGATACCAAGATGAGGAAGACATAGTCTGTGCTTCAAAGGATCCCCCAGTCTAATGGAAAAGCTTTGCCCAAATTAAACTCTCACATGCTTTGCATTTTTGTTTAGATTGAAGGACAGCAAAATAAGTGCCAATAAAGCATTCTTGAGAAAACTAATGAGAAACTTGGTCATTAATAGCAGAAGCTAAGCATGAGATGGGGAGGAGTCAAGCATGTCCTATCTGGATAACTCAAGATCACTAACAGCTGTATGCCCTGGAGTTGGCCTGTCTTCTTATTTAAACATAATAAAACCAGCCATCAAATTAGATATGAACTTGAACCCACTTTTTATGAACCTTTTGCTAGTACCTCTCCTCCCCTGTTAGTATACTGGTGGAAGGAAGATTACCAAAAATATCCTTAGGATCATTTAAACTTCTACCTAGTTATGTTTTTATGTACTGGATGATTTTGAGGATCTGAAGCAGTATTTTAACCTAGCATAATGTATATAACCAAGAAACCTTGCCTGATAACTTACATAATATCCACACTGGGTCAAGTTGATCTTCTACGTTACTGGGACTTTGCCCTGGACCAAGTGAGACTAGATATTTGGTCCCCGTCAGCCTATCCTGTGTCTCTGCAGGGAACATGCTCCTGGCACTCTGGAGAGTAGAACAAAATCAACTGAGTGACATCATTACCTTGGTGGCAAAATGCAGTCTGGAGATACAGGAGAAATTTGGGATCTATCACACCAGAGAAGGCCAGGACCTGCAGTTAAAGATAGGTAGTACCTCCTAAAAGAGTGATCCAACTGGGCGAGGGGGAACCCACTATAAAAACCTCAAGATAAATGATAAACTGGGAAAAAAAATATTTGCAGTTCATATAGACAAAGGGTGAATTGCTCTACTAGGGAAAGAGCACTTAGAAATCAAGAATAATACTCTTAAGAGAAAAATGGACAAAGGACATGAGTAAATTGTATATAGACAAGGAAACGCATGTCTTTTAACACGTCAAAAGATGATCAACATTCATAATAAGAAAAATGCCAATTGGAAGTACACTGACTACCTGTCTTACCTATAGATAGGCAAAACTTCAGATGCTGGACAATGTACTCTGGTGAGTCTGAGGAATGAGCTTTTTCTTACTGTGAGTGAACAATGGTATAAGGGTAACTTGGCAATCTTTATTATATTTATTTTTATTGTCTTTATTGTACTTTTTATGTCAAGAAAAACTAAACCATATAAAAATATATATTAAAAAGTCTTGTTTTCACTTACATACCATCTATACTATTTACTCTTACAAGTACATTTATTCTTTAACCTCACAATCCTTCTGGACATTTATCCTATAGGTATGCCTACACACATGTGAAATGTTGCGCGTGCAAGGTTATTGATTGTAATATGGTTTGCAATTTTAAAACATTGAAAACAACTTATTTATAGGAGACTGGTTAAGTAAATAATATGTATACTCAATAAGATTATCTGCAACTTTAAAAAAAATAAGATGTCTTGACATGGCAGTATCTCCAAGATATAGTTAAGTGAAAAAAAGTAAGATACAAAACAGCGTGTTTAGTATGCTACCATCTGTGTAAGGAGGAAAATAGAAACACTGGAAAAATATACAAGAAACTAATAGAATTACTAATATCAGGAAAATAGTAAAGATGGGCATGTAGGTAAAGCAAGAATTTAAAATATATATTCTTTATAGTTTATTTTTGAACTATGTTAGTGCTTGACAGAATCAAAAATATAACACAATATAATAAAAAAAAGCTATATACAGAGGCCAAAGTTTCACCAACGGCAGAGTCAGGATTGGAGGGGAAGTTCCATACACAAAGCTCCTTCACAAGGGTTCAGAAACCTCTTTAAGGGCAAAAGTTGGCTCCAGCTGTTCTTTTATGTTTTGAGGAGCAGTGGTAAAGAATTATATTCTGTTTTATATGGCATCTCTTTTGTCCTGCCATCTTTCGTTTCTTTTGGTTTTTTTCTTATTAAGGATAATTGATACTATACATTGGCATATTTATACACTTTTGAAACCATCACCACAATAAAGATAGTGAACATACTTATCACTGAAAAAGTCTCCTTGTGCCCCTTTGTACATTCTTCTTCCACTACTCTCCTTCACCATCTCCAGACAGACAAAATGTCCATCTCCAGGTGTATTATATAAGAGAAGGAAATCTGGGGGAAGAATTTTTTTTTTTTTTTTTTTTTTGAGATGGAGTCTCGCTCTGTCACCTAGACTGGCACGCAGTGGCGCGATCTCAGCTCACTGCAACCTCTGCCTCCAGGGTTCAAGCGATTCTTCTGCCTCAGCCTCCTGAGTAACTGGGATTATAGGCACGCACCACCATGCCTGGCTAATTTTTTTTTTGTATTTTTGGTAGAGACAGGGTTTCACCATGTTGGTCAGGCTAGTCTCGAACTCCCAACCTCAGGTCATCTGCCTGCCTCGGCCTCCCCAAGTGCTGGGATTACAGGCAAGAGCCACCGCACCTGGTCGTAAGGTATTGTTATTTTTTTGTTTGTTTTTTGTTTTTCCATTCTTTTTTAAAAATATATATATATACTTTAAGTTCTAGGACACATGTGCACAACATGCAGATTTGTTACATATGTGTACATGTGCCAAGTTTGTGTGCTGCACCCATTAACTCGTCATTTACATTAGGTATATCTCATAATGCTATCCCTCCCCCCTCCCCCCACCCCACAACAGGCTCCAGTGTGTAATGTTCCCCTTCTTGTGTCCAAGTGTTCTCATTGTTCAATTCCCACCTGTGAGTGAGAACATGCGGTGTTTGGTTTTTTGTCCCGTAAGGTATTATTTTTAAAGGTTAGCTCACCTAAGACTTCTGCAGCTGAGGGCAGTAACAAGATTGGCATGATGCATAGAGCCATGTGGGGATTCCAGACCCCTCCTGTTGCATAGTTTCCCAATTGAGTTTGACTATTCTCCATTTATCTCATTTTTTCTGGATAGGTCTGTCTGCGGGTCGGATTTCCCAGGTTATTGTTGGAGATGAGCGGCAGCAATACCTCTTGGTGATTGGGCGGGATGTAGATGATGTCCGGTTAGCTCAGCGTTTGGCTCAGGCAAATGAGATTGTCCTATCCTGGAACTGCTGGATGCTCTGCGAGCAGTGTATGTTTGAAGTGGAAATCATGAGGGAGGATGAAGCTGTGAAGGTAGGAGGCTAGCTTCATCTATTCACATCCTGAAAAGGCCTTCCTATTACACAGGGCAATGCTCTGATAGTGTTCACATATTGCCTGGCCAAACCAACGGCCATTGGAACTCAATTTAGGAGGGAGGCTGGGAATATTCTCCTATAAAGATGGATGAGGTGGAACAGTGAGGCTGAGGAGATAAAAGGCAAACAAGGGTGATAGAATCCTCAGCCTTTCTTGTGTGGGGGCACAGAATTAAGCAGTTTCCTTTCTGTAGTTAAGAGATATGCGGATCATTGACCCATTTGATTTTGATGAGCATTTTGACAAGTGCCTCGATTATCTACCACATTACCGTACAAGTGCTGGTAAGTTACTTTGTCCTTTCTACCTAAGCCCCAAATTTTAAACATTAATTTTCCACATGGCCAGGGACCTTTTATTTTACTTTTCTCAGAGACTCTAAGAACTGCACTGGAATTGGATCCACACTCTGATCTTGACCAAAAGCTGCGGAAACACATAATGAAAAACCTTTTGAAGAAGGTTATTTCCTAGTTCTTGAATCCTCGTATAGTCTGTGTGTGTGTGTGTGTGTGTGTGTGTGTGTGCACGCGTGCATATAAACAGGTGTACAATTGTAAGTGACAACTTTTTTGTATTATCCAGTTAATCTCCAGCACCCCATTGTAATTCCAGCAGATTTACCCATCTGTGCCAACATAGTACGGTGATGAACATGTCTTAAACCTTTAGCTAGATTTTTCAATCCTAGAAAGTAGAAACCATATTTGTTTTTTAGTTTGTTCTTCAACAATTTAGTACACTGTAAGAAGGGTATAGAGTGTATGTTTGGTAAATATAAGTTGACTGATTGTATATATATATGAATATATGTGAATTCCTTAGTAAGAGTGTAATGACTAATGGATGTGTCAAATTAACTCTTAGAGAGTAAATCTTGACAGATTTCATCAGTGAATTCTGCCTAGTCAGTTTTAATTCCAAGTGCATTGGGTTGTATATCTTCTATACTAAAATTTCTTTTAAGTTTTTGCTGAGACCCTTAAGTTATTTTCTCATATATACCATGAAATACATAATTAAAATGCCTGAACATGATGCTGATAGTTGAAAATACAGGTAGGTAATTCAATGTGTCTTTACAGATTGATGAAGGCCAGCCTGTAGAGTATGTATCTGAATTCCGTACGGTGACTCTGGTTTTGGTCAGCCTGGAGTTCCACAAGACAGCGTGGATGTTGCATTTGTGTCATCTTATCCAGGAGTCTGCCTTATACATCTCCACAGTCATTGAGAAAGGGGGTGGCCAGCTGAGTCGGATCTTTATGTTTGAGAAAGTAAGTACAAGGGAACTTGACCAATCAGCATTAAAGGTGAGTGAGGAGTGATGTCCTCCCACATAACACAAGTGTAAGTCAAATTCCCTGCTACTTATTTTGTAACAAGCTATATTACATTAAAACTTCAACTAATACTAATTAAGAAATGGGATGTTCTTGTTAGTTTAATTTTCAGGGTTACTGAGGGTTACTCTCCATGTCATTTTTTATTGAATTCTTGTTGAAGAATCCTTGTGAAGCATAAAGAATGTTTTTCTGGTTCTATTAGTAAAGTAAATGTAATCAGGTCTTTCTCAGATAATTAAGGATCTTGAAAAAAAGCAGAATCTTAATACTTGATGTTATAAGTGATGAAAATGTGGGCAGATAGACTTAGCTCAAGGTATATACTAGAAATTAAATTTTTGAAAAGTTCTTGATAGCAGTTTTTCTTGTGTTTTAAATTTCAGCTCTTTGAATAGTGAAATCAAGATTTTTAAAAATGTCTACATTGCTGGCCAGGTGCGGTGGCTCACGCCTGTAATCCCAGCACTTTGGGAGGCCAAGGCAGGCAAATCACGAGGTCAGGAGATCAAGACCATCCTGGCTAACACGGTGAAACCCCGTCTCTACTAAAAATACAAAAAAATTAGCCAGGCATGGTGGCGGGTGCCTGTAGTCCCAGCTACTTGGGAGACTAAGGCAGGAGAATGGCGTGAACCCAGGAGGCGGAGCTTGCAGTGAGCCGAGATCGCACCACTACACTCCAACCTGGGCTACAGAGCAAGACTCCATCTCAAAAAGAAAAAAAAAAAGTCTATGTTGCTGTGGCCCAGAGTTTCCATTTTATGAATCATGTAGAATCCTATATTTCCAACAGGAGAGTGTTCAAGGATAGGGTCTGGGTTCATTCGGGGGAGCTGGTTTAGTTTAGGCAAGCCATATTCCTTTCCCAGGTAAGTATCTCATTTCTTTGTTTGTCATGTATCCCAGGGCTGCATGTTCCTCTGTGTTTTCGGCCTTCCTGGTGATAAGAAGCCAGACGAGTGTGCACATGCCCTGGAGAGCTCCTTCAGCATCTTTAGCTTCTGCTGGGAGAATCCTGCTAAGACCAAGTAAGGAGGAAGGTGGGGCAGAGAGGAGCTTCTCAGGCCCCAGGGGCTCCTCAGGCAGGGTAGGAGGCAGTAACAAGTGGCAGGGATTCAGGTAGTCCAGAATTTGCCTAATGTGAAGGGAACATGCTAAGGAAAGTGAGCAAACAGGATCTATTAAGAAATCACCAGATACAGATCTCTGTACTGAATACCCAGGGGAAATAAAGATATATTCCCATTCAGCGGGTCAGGAAAAGGAGAGAAACAGAACAAATATACCAAGATTCGAGAACACTGCAAAGGAACAAGCAAATGTGTAAATTAATATGATGCAAATAACATCCCTGTGGAGAGGATACAGAATAAAGGCTGCCTGTCTACAAGAGAGAGTGCAAGAGAAGTTGTGGAGAAATTACCTAGATAGAAAGGAACCATAGCTGGTTAACGCTCTCTTGGCTTTCATTCTGGGTCTTTCACAGATCTTATTGCCTTTTCTGGCCCTTAAACTGAACTGATCTCCCTCTTCCACATCCACCCCTCACCGAACCACCTTTCACAAAACCTAACCCAGATGAAGGTATAGAAAAATCTATTTTCCCACTAGTTGCATTATGATAAAGTTGGTTGGAAGTTTTCGATTGACTTTTTAAAATAGAAAGCTATGGAGAAAGTGTGTACATGAATGAATTTTAAAAATAGTTACTTCCAGTGTTAACATTGAATCAGATTGATTTGCTTGCCATAACTTAATTCAAAATGGATAAAAATTGTATCAAACATGTAAATAGTGCTTTAACATTTATAGAATACTTCAGTATATGCTACCAATGTGAAAATTTGTATCCCTCTTTATTTTTTGCTGTTTTTTAGAGACAGAGTCTCGCTCTGTTTCCCAGGCTAAAGTTCCGTGGCACAATCATGGCTCACTGCATCCTCAACCTCATCCTTCCAAGTAGCTCAGACTACAGGCACACACCCCACACTGGGCTTTTTTTTTTTTTTTTTTTTTTTTTTTTTTTAAGTAGAGACAAGGTCTTGCTATGTTGCCCAGGCTGGTTTCGAACTCCTGAGCGTGAGTGATCTCCCACCTCAGCCTCCCAAAGTGCTGGGACTATAGGTGTGAGCCACCATGCCCAGCCCCTCTTTTATACATTAAGGAAATTAAGGTCACAGAAGAGAAGTTACTAGCGTATAGCAGAGCTTTTAATGAAACCCAGATCTTCAGTCTTCAAATCCTGTGTTGTTTCATTACTTATCCCCCAGCTGCCTCTTACAAAATGCAAATGCTCCCCAAAAGAATCAAATATGCTATTAATGTGATATAATTATAGATACACACTCATAGAATGTTAATATTGGAAAGGAATTTAGAGATTATCTGATCCAAGCCTTATTTTAGAAATAAGAAAGATGCTACAGTTGCTTAATAGATACTCTAGATACTCAGACTCTTTGCCCAAGGCAAATACATGTTAACACTGTTAACACTTCTTTCAGGTTTGGTGGGATCTGCAGATACTCCTACATCCTACCTCCCAGTCTTGTCTCTAGTGTGGATATGCTGGGCAGTATTAGTCAGGGTTCTCTTAGAGGGACAGAACTAATATATATATATATATATATATAGTTACATATAATTATGTTTTTTTTATATATATATATATTTTTTTTTTTTTTTTGAGATGGAGTCTCGCTCTGTCGCCCAGGCTGGAGTGCAGTGGCCAGATCTCGGCTCACTGCAAGCTCCGCCTCCTGGGTTCACGCCATTCTCCTGCCTCAGCCTCCCGTGTAGCTGGGACTACAGGCGCCCGCCACTTCGCCCGGCTAGTTTTTTGTATTTTTTAGTAGAGACGGGGTTTCACCATGTTAGCCAGGATGGTCTTGATCTCCTGACCTCGTGATCCGCCCGTCTCGGCCTCCCAAAGTGCTGGGATTACAGGCTTGAGCCACCGCGCCCGGCCAATTATGTTATATATTATATAGAACATATATATATATAAAAAAAGGGGAGTTTATTAAGTATTAACTTACACAACCACAAAGCCCCACAATAGGCTGTCTGTAAGCTGAGGAGCAAGGAGAGCCAGTCCGAATGCCAAAACTGAAGAACTTGGAGGTCGATGTTTGAGGGCAGGAAGCATCCAGCATGGGAGAAAGATGTAGGCTGGAAGGCTAGGCCTGTCTCCCTCATTTCACATTTTTCTGCCTGCTTTATATTCGTTGGCAGCTGATTAGATTGTGCCCACCAGATTAAAGGTGGATCTGCCTTCCCCAGCCCACTGACTCAAATGTTAATCTCTTTTGGCGACACCCTCACAGAAACATGCAGGATTAATACTTTCAATCCTTCAATCAAATTGACACTCAGTATTAACCATCACATGGGCCATCCCCTCCAGTGCTGGTCTGTTCTGTTCTTGATGTTTGTATTGCCCTGTGGCCTTCAAGGGTCCCACCCTTGGCCCTTACTCTTAAAAGAGTCATTTCTTTGGCCTTTAGAGACTGTCTTACAATGCCCTTAAGAATGTCTTCTGTCACTCTTAGGCTGTAACTTGGTCATTTCCATCTTATTTAGTTTAGAATATAATAGATGTTAAGAACTAGACAGGGTATTAGAGTTCTTCAAATTTGACCTCTTTAAAGAAACTAAGATCCAGAAAGGTTATGCTGCTAAGTCAAACAGATGTCAAAGCCTCAAAGCTAAGTTTCAAGGTCAGTGATTTTTTTCCTTGAAGATAATTACTAATTCAGTATCTCCCAAAGTGTGTTTGTTAGAATGTTATTAATCCCTTAATATGCTCTTGAAAAAAGAAAAGATTTTCATGATCAAATATGTCTGGGAAGTGTCGCAAATTATATTTCCTTCTTCAAGGTTCACAATGAACATTAAAACGTACCAAAGGTTCTGAGTAGTGTTATGGGAAAGAGATGTGTTATATTTAGTTTTAGTCAGCATTTCCCAAATTTACTTGGTCATCAAACACTTTTCTCCAGAAAGACCTATAAACATCCAGAGGAGCTAATGTTCTAAGGAAGATAATTTTGGAAATGCTGAGCAGATGCTAAAGCTTCAGAGGTACCTACATGGTCTCGGTAGCAGATACCATTGCTCATTTCTCTCTGCATCACATCAGCTCTCAGACCCAAAACTACTTTCCATGTCTTCTTTTTCAAAGACCCTGTTCACCTTGAGACATCCTCTGAATTCCTCTTTCTAATCTGAGAAATAGCTTCAGCTTTTAGCTCATTTAGAGGAAAGATGATTCCCTGAGTATTTCTTCAGGATATTTTTGAGACATAGGGAGTGCAGTCTCAGAATGTCATTATTATGGTTTTTCAGTACCAGAAATACTTTATATACAATTACATGTATCAAATAAAGAATACATTCTTTATCAATGCAGAAAGGTTTTAAAGGAAAGAAGGAATATGGATTGCTGAGAAAAGCAAGGAGGAATTATAAAGTATAATAGAAAGAAATAAGAAATAACTAAATGATAAAAGTATTGTTTGTTCATGATTGACTTGTTAATAGCTGAATTTCTGGCATGCATAAATGCATTCATTCAACAAGCATTCCTTGGACACAGTTATGAGCCAGGCACTGTGTTAGTGCTATGGACATAAAGAGAAGTAAGATTTTACCAGTTCTGCTAAGTAAACAACTAACTTTAATACAATGAAATTGAAGTGCAGAAATAAAATGCTATAGGAGTTACAGCGATGTGCTATGGGAAGAAATGGTTAATTCTCCCCAGAGGCACCAAAGAAATCTTGACTATAAAGATGACTTTTGAGACAGGTTGAGAAGAAAAGTAGTTCAGCAAATGGAGAAGATGAGAAAGGGTATTTAGGCAGAGGAAGCATCATGAAATATTAAAAAATTTTCAGTCTTGCTCTTCATATGGCAGCAGAACTGACAGCATGGTCTTCTTGTCTTAAGTGTCTCTTTTTTTCACCCTGGGGGCAGTGAGCTGAGTGAATGAATGGTAAGATACTTTTTTTTTTTTTTGAGACAGAGTCTCACTCTGTTGCCCAGGCTAGAGTGCAGTGGTGCAATCTCGGCTCACTGCAACTTCTGCCTCCTGGGTTCAAGCGATTTTCCTGCCTCAGAATCCCTCAACTGGGATTATAGGCACACACCACCACACCCACTAAGTTTTATATTTTTAGTATAGATGGGGTTTCACCATGTTGGCCAGACTGGACTTTCGAACTTCTGACCTCAGGTGATCCACCCACCTTGGCCTCCCAAAGTGCTAGGATTACAGGCATGAACCACAGCACCCAGCCAAGAGCCCTTAATCCTGTCTTTTGAGGAAGGCAAATAATTTTGATGGCTTAGGAGATAATAGTGTTAACATGATTGCTACTTTTCATGTTCTCTCTGAACCACTGAAAATTGTTTATAGATTTAATATGAGACTATGCGTCATTGCATATCTTTCTCCACCTGCATATCTTGTTACCTGTCACATGAAATTTTCATGTCAGTGAGTAAATCTACTTATTTTGTTATGTATGAATTGCTCCTTGCCACCTTTGGGCTTTTGCCTCACCTAGAACAGTATATGCCCTCTTTTAAAATAATTCATTTATCTAATACTCTTCCGTCCCTAGAGAGGTAAGACTACTTCTCCCATTACCTCTCTCTACTCCAAACACCTCTGTTCATGTCTGTGCTGTAGCCATCTTGAAGCACTTAGTTTTGCATGACCATACAAGGCATCTCAAAGCCTTTACCTTTTCCCACCAGATAGTACTATTCCCTGACTTTATCAGTTTCTTCAACTTTCAAGGTCCAACCAAATGTCCTCTCCTTTATGAATACTGTATCTACTCTTCAGTGTGAATTAGTGCATCTGTTCTGTTTGCTCTGCTAATGTGCTATATCAGTCTCTAATATGGAGCATTTGTCTTGGTAATATGTAAGTATCTCTTCACCTCCCTCAAACCTACCACCCTCCTTCCCAGACTTAACTTCTCTAGGGCAGGATATTTTAAACATCCAGCCAAATACTCAGTACTTTGCACACTTCTCAGTGCTTAGTGAATGAAATGAATGTATGTATGCATGAATGAATTTTTAAAATATTACTTATTAGAAAAATTTTGTTCCAAATGTAAATTTACTTCAGAAAGCCTTCTGTCTGCAGTCCTGACATTCTGATTATTCCTTAACTATGACATTCTAGCATTATTTGATCCAGTAACCCTGTATTGATATCTCTTGATCTACTTTCATTTTTCGGTTTTATCTGAGGCAACATGGTATAGTAGAAATAATATCAGTCTAAGAGGCAAGAGGCCTGGATTCTCATTCTGACTCTACTGTTGGCTTTTGCTATATAACTCTGGGAAAGTTAACCCCTTCAATTTTTTTTTCTCAAATGGTATTTAAATATTTGCCTTACTACAGATGTAAATTTTTTTTTTTTTTTTTTTAGATGGAGTCTCGCTCTGTCACCCAGGCTGGAGTGCAGTGGCTTGATCTCCACTCACTGCAAGCTCCGCCTCCTGGGTTCATGCCGTCCTCCTGCGTAGCTGGGACTACAGGCATCTGCCACCACGCCTGGCTAATTTTTTGTATTTTTAGTAGAGACGGGGTTTCACAGTGTAGCCAGGATGGTCTCGATCTCCTGACCTTGTGATCCACCTGCCTCGGCCTCCCAAAGTGCTGGGATTACAGGCATGAGCCACTGCGCCTGGCCCAGATGTAAAATTTTTAAAAATCTTTTACTGGCCAGGTGTGGTGGCTCACACCTGTAATCCCAGTGCTTTGGGAGACCAAGACGGGTGTATTGCCTGAGCCCAGTAGTTTGAGACCAGCCTGGACAACTAATGAAACCCCATCTCTCCCAAAAATTAAAAAAAAAATTTAGTTGGATGTGGAGGTGTGTGCCTGTAGTCTCAGCTACTTGGGATGCTGAGGTGGGAGGATCACTTGAGCCCAGGAAACGGAGGTTGCAGTGAACTGAGATTGCACCAATGTGCTCCAGCCTGGGTGATAGAGCAAGACCCTGTCAAAAAAAAAAAAAAAAGAAAAAATATTTTACTAATTATAACCCCCAACTAAAACTAAAACTCCTGAATTAGGGGAACCATTCTGTTTCTTTTGGTTCTCTCCGTAATATTCAGTACTTTGTACCCTTCATGTTATATAGACTGACAGCAACCTCTGGCGTTTTCCATTCTAAGCTCTAAGCTCTAAAACTAGACTTCTGGATCTAGGGAGCGGCAGATCTACTGCCTGACTTGGAGGCTTCTGACTGTATGTTTATCCATTATTGCTTTTCTGATCCCTAGACTTGTTTCCATCAGTATCACCAATGGACCAGTATTCTGTGGCGTGGTTGGAGCAGTAGCAAGACACGAATATACAGGTAGAATAGGACATTGGACTGTTATCTTTGTGAGTTAAGGGAGGAAGGTGGAAGACATGGTCCAAAAATTCTCCACCTGTCTTTCTGACACAGTTATTGGTCCAAAAGTGAGTCTTGCGGCCAGAATGATAACTGCTTATCCAGGTTTGGTGTCCTGTGATGAGATAACATATCTAAGATCCATGCTACCTGCTTACAACTTCAAGAAACTCCCAGAGAAAATGATGAAAAACATCTCCAACCCAGGGAAGATATATGAATATCTTGGCCACAGAAGATGTATGTGAGTATCATTGTGTGATAGGTTCATTCTCATCTCTTACAGAACAGTAAGTTTTTGATTACATGAAATTGGAAAAAAAGATGCTGCTAGTACTGGCATGCTAAAATAAGACACACAAAAGGAGGGTTTAGTGTCTGAGAGATTTAGCTTTTATGTTTAGCTCTTAGCTAGTTCTTCAGTGAATATCCTGTTCTCCAACAGGAAGAGAATAGCAATAGGTCACTAACCCAGATCTTTGTTCTTTTTTTCTTTGTGTACTTCACCATTCATTTACTTCCCTGAGCCTGGAACAATCAATAATATTCCCTCTTTACTCCCTCTCCCCCCAAATTTTTAGTTTTTAAAAACCTTTTTATTCAGAACTCTGTACTTTCTTAATTATCTGAAAGTATTTGTTTATGAAGATAGTTGTTCGTAATCTATTTTTAACAGATACATTTCACTTTGTTCTTTTTCCCAGAATGTTTGGAAAAAGACATTTGGCAAGAAAGAGAAACAAAAATCGCCCTTTGTTAGGTATGTTTTCTTTTGTAACTTAAATCATGTTTGTTTCAGCTATAGACAGCTAAATGTGATTTAAAAAAACAAAACAGTGTAAGACTAAATGCTTTTAAGCTTTATTAAAAAATAGAGAGCAACTTTCTTAGTGAAATTATATTCATTTTGAAGAGGACTTACTATTTCTTTTCCATGTCAAGTATTCAGATTTCAGGTGAAGTCCTATAACTGCCTGAGAAACACCAACATTTAGTAATATCTAATCTTTGTAAGTTAGAGTTTAGTTATTAAGATCAGACAGCTTATTGTGGATCATCTTTAGAGAAAAATTCATCATCCTTAGAATAATGAAAATAGCACCAAGACTGTTGTCACCCACACTGTATATCCCCTATCTTTATATTTATTTTAGTCTATACTTATTAGTCCATTATTTTTACATAGTAGTGACAGATTTTGAAGACTAAATTATTACTAAGAAAATTTTTACAAAAAATTAAGAGACACCTGTGTCCACAAGGTGCCTAATTTTTCTGAATGTTACTACTTAGGCTCTGGAATAAGCCCTCAAGACTAGCATATATTAACTCAGAATTGATTTTCTGGAAGGAGATGTGAAGCCCCATCAATGAATGAGATTCTTCCAGGAATTCTGGAGAAAAAAAGCCATTCTGAGAGTTAGCTTTGCAAATTGATTCAAATCAATAGATTATCTACCAAAAAGCCTGGAACAATCACTAATGTTGATTATTGATATCCAGGAGTGTTAGGTGCTCCCTGTCTCTCTACAGACCGGGAGAAAGAATTGGAAGCCTTCCAAATGGCACAGCAAAGGTGTTTGCACCAGAAGAAGGGACAAGCAGTTCTGTATGAAGGTGGAAAAGGCTATGGAAAAAGCCAGCTGTTGGCTGAAATAAACTTCCTGACACAGAAGGAAGGGCATAGGTAAAGACTCCTGTTTTCTTAGTCAGAACCTACTTCTCTTGGGGCCTCTTTCCCTTGTTAGCAAGACTCTCGTGTCATTAGATTCAGCATTCTTGGACTGGTGAAGTGAGTAACCTACATGTCATACAGGGGACTCTTGATGACCATAGTAATATTCACCAGGGTATTGCCATTGATGCTGAAGGAAGCAGATTCCAAGCAGTGCTTCTATGCCATCCAGACCCTCATGGCCATCTTCTTTGAAATTGATACATGCCCAGCCTATTACCGGCAAGAGTGCCTACAAAGACACCTTCGTGGGATAGTGGAAGAACAACTTCACTGCCTTTTTAATGACCTCTTATTTGTGAAGGTAATGAAGGCAGTGGCTTTCTGAATTGGGTTACTGTTATATTTTGTGGAAAGTCAGACCTAGGATTGTTTTCTAATCTAATAACCTGAGGATATACATATTTTTTATACATACATAGATATATATATATATATATATATATATATATATATATATATATATATATATATGGTAGGGCCAAGATTTGGAATTCTTTCGACACCAAAACTCAGGCTTTCTCCTTTTGAAGAGAGTGAATTCTAGTATTGAACCTGACACTTGGTAGTTGTATGTCCTAGAGCAAATCACTTAGCCTCTCTGAGTCATAGCTTTTTCATCTGTGAAATAACAATTATAGTACTGTATGTTTTTATGTGAATTTTAAAGGAGATGGTATCTAAGAGATTGCATTGTATATTTTAAAGTGTTAAATACATTAAGGTGGCCCTCACCAGTGGCATATCCCCAGGAATTATATCCATGTGTTCTTGAGTTGGTTACAATTTCTTTATTTTTTAACCCTACCTTCCTGTTCCCTTACCACAGAATATATCATTTGAAACCAGCATCTGGATCTCAAAAGCCTTCAGAGGTCTAGGATTTATGGGGTATCCAGTAGTGAACAAGCTAAAAATTCACTGGTCCACAATTTTTTTATTTATCCTCTATCACTTCTCCTAATCTACCCACCCTGCAGAGTATTTTGGAATGGAACCCTAAGATCTGTCTAATCCCTCAACATATCCCTCTCTTAAGACAGGCCTTGCTTGGGTCTCTAAACCCTTGCCTACATAGATTAGCAGTCATCTCACTTTGGCTCTCAGGTTCCTGGTAGTTCATGTGCCTCAGCGTAGCACAGGAAACAATGTTACGTGATATCTGTTGCATCTTATTCTGACAAGTCTCACGAACAGATTTCATCCTGGTATACTTCGAATAACTGGGATACTGGAGCTGCCCAAAATGGCATTGCTAAGTTCAACCTGTCATTTACTCCTTAGTCATAACCCTTTAAGGGTTTTACTAGAGTCTGGTATAGAAAGGAGATAGATATCTGTCTCTAACCCTTCACGAACTTTCTGTCTCATCCTTTGAACTATATATTAATGTTGGATTGGCCCTTGTAACTCTGTGCTCAATCTTGCAGAAACCCATTCTCAGTCAAAATAGAATTGTCTTGTGTTCCCTTTGGAGAACCTGCATGTTTTTATTGGATTTTCATTTTAAATGCTAACATGTAATAATTTTCCTGGTCAGTTTCCTTTGTCCTTCAAAGTTTCGCACATGGATGACGTGGCCAGACAAAAGAAGGTTAAAGCATGTTTTATTAAAGTACTTCAGGAGGTGGGTACTTTCACTACATGTCACTAACTCTTAATATGTGGAAATAGTTTATGTTTAATCTGTCCACATCACACTTTGATTAAGGCATTTCTTGGCCTGCCTATTTGCCAATATCTTCATTGTTATTTTCTACTTTTAAGCTTAGATTCATCCTACAACACGGCATGGCATACAAGAAAAGATCTTTGCTCTTCCAGATCCTGTTTCTAAATAAAATTTTAGTAGTTTAATTTAAAATAGTAGTTTCTAAATGCAGTTATATAGCTATTTTATCTAGTATTTGTTAAAAATGCAGATACTCATGTTCTAACCTAGGATTATGGAATCAAAAATCTGTATGAGTAGAAACTGATGTAACCATTCTGGAAAGCAATCTAAAAGCAACTAGTCAAATTTTAATAACATGTATCCTCTAGACCCAGTAATTCCACTCCTGGGTATATATCTCAACAAGTATGTTCTTAACAGTGTGGAGGCCAGGGAGGTATCGGCATGAATGCATGCATGAACATGATGGAATAAAATGCAGAATTTAGAAACAGGAGAATATATAAAAACATAGTGATATGAAATGATCTTAAAAACACAGTCCTGGTTAGAAAGAGAGAGAGAAATAATGAGATCTGTAATACAGTTGCATTTACATTAAAAACAATTACTTGACAAAACAACAATGCATGTTTTATAAGAACACCATAGAAACAAAGAACTATGCAATGAACACATTAGAATGGTCACTTGAGGCAGCGGAGAGTGGAGTGGGAGTTCCAAATGTGATTAAAAGTAAATAGATCTTTAAAGTCTGTTTGAGTGGGGCCTGGTGATTGGGAGTGCTGGCAAGCACTCCCAGGTGATTCCAGTGCATAGCCTGGTTTGGAAGTTTTAAGGTATTATGAGTTCCCACACAAATGAAGCTTTTGCCAGAATGAAATATTTGAAAGCTTCAAGTTTGATTTGGAGAATATTTTGATGCGTATTTCATGTTTCAGGTAGAATATTTTCTTGTCCACAGAAACCCAGTACTTTTTTTAGGAACTAGATTTTATATTTATAAAGTAAAATATTACCTGGATTTAGAATATATTTTACTCCGAAAACTCTAGCCTGTGTTAACATTTTATTTAAATTATTGATGGGAAATTTATGGTAGATTTGAAAACCAGGTGACTTCATTTCTAATCAGAGGTTATTGTTTCTTTGCTGTTCTTTCCAGGCAGCGAGGGAAACACCACTGATTTTCCTCATTGATGAGGCCCAGTATATGGATGCAGCTTCCTGGGAGTTTTTGGAAACATTGCTCTCCAGTATGCCCATCATCATGGTGATGACGTTGACCCCTATCTTCACCCTGTGTGGCTGGGCCCAGCATTTCCTGCAGAGCCCTCAAGCTATCCTTATGCCTATTACGAAGTTGGCAACAACCTCGCTGTTGAGAATGGCATGTTGGGAGCTAGGGGTGGTGAGCATCCCCCAAGAGCTGCAGATGTGAGTGGCTAGGACTAACTGAGCACTTCGTTAAGGGAGGAACCAGTGCCATAATATAAATGAAAAGGCACAGGTCTTACTGGAGTTGGGAGAGAGAATAGCATTAGTAACCATGATGAGGCCCCAAGACTAGATTTAAGGGAGACAGTCTTCTTGTAATCAAGTAAGGGGCTGCCTCCCTGGGCTATCCACCCAGGTTTTCACAAGACAATTAGGACTTGGGTGACTTGCTTTATGTGTCAGTTATATGTGATAAGGCCCCTTTCTGCCAGACCCTTTAGCAAGGGAATGTTAGTTCCTTTCAACATCAGTAAAAGAAAAATAGTTGAGAAAGAAAAGTTATTGCCGAAATGCATTTCAAGGCCAATCAGAAGTTACTTTTTTCTATTTCTGTGCCTCTGTCCCCCTCTGTTAGTGTACGTCATGAAGAGCTGACTTTAACAAAAGAAGATTCCTCAGAGTGAAGTACCATTATGTTTGGCTCCCCTAAAGTGGTCATCTCTAATGTGCAATCCCTTACTTACCTCCCTGCAGCTACCTTCACAGGTGCTTTGGAAATCCCCTTTATTGCAAGGTCCTATGCCAGGACCTTCTCTCTAAGGACATATTGCTCTTTCATGACCTACAAAAGGAGGAAGAGGAAAACAGCAAGTGGGAAACCCTCTCAGGTAAGCTTAGCTTCCCAGAGTTCTACGCTGGTCCAGCTGCTGAAGTTCATTCTCCAGCATGACATCACTTGGCCTTTACGAGGTACATACCTTTTCCTTGCTAACACTGTGGGCCACACTAGGCCTTCCCAGATAAGCACACTATACAAATCTTATACAATTAGGGTGAAAATACTCAAGACTTGCTTTGGATAACTTAATCCAGTCAATCTACAATAGTTCATTTTATAAGCAGCCCAAGAGGTGGGACTAGGAAATTAGGATTTATAAACATGAAAATCCAGAAAAAAGAATTGTACACTATTGATGAGAAGGCTGACTTGAGGATTTGGATGGGGGATGGGAGAAGGGAGGAAATTAGGAGAGGAATAAAGGGTAGAAGTATGTATAAAAGCAGAAAGGCATCCCAGAGCTGTGATATAATAGAAGCAAGAGCTGTTACAAGGTGAACAGGAATAGTGATTAGTTGTAAGATACTGATTGGTACAGAGAATGTTGTTAGTTTATAAGAGAAAATTAGAGAACAGGCAGACAGGTGGGGTAAAACACTTTAAACCATGGTACACTCCAGTCATCTTCATCCTTTAGGTTTTTTTTTTTTTTTTTTTGACTAAATTACTATATTTTTGTGCCTTTGGAACTGCAGTCACTGAGAATGGTGCTTTTCTCAGTCATAGCCTGTTTTCTTTATAGCCAATGCCATGAAATCCATAATGTATAGTATTTTTCCTGCCAACTCTGAAGAAGGCCAGGAACTTTATGTCTGCACAGTCAAGGATGATGTGAACTTGGATACAGTACTTCTCCCACCCTTTCTGAAAGGTAAGTCCCTTGAAGACCTCAAGTGAACCAATTACAGATATCATTGCAATTAGTAATTTGGTGAGTAGTTGAGTGTAGGTCTCTCATTATCATTCTGGCTTCATTTCTTCTAAAAAAGGAATCTACCTTCTAGAAATAAGTTCTGGCATTGCCTGAAGAGCTCTTTGAAGACTTGTAAGGCTACTTGAGTAAGGTTTTACTTAAATGAGCTTATTGTTCTCTTTGGGGCTGACTGATGACCTGGAAAAGTTTTCCAATTATTTAATACAAAATAGGTCCTGAGTTTCCCTTTGTACATATTCTTGTTCTAGAGTAGACAGTAAGCAAAGGAGATGATATTGCTAAGATTTAAGAAAATCCATGGTGTTAGTGATGATGCAGTGTTATGCACATAGCAAAAGTTTAATAAAAAGGAAGAGCGCAAAGTAGAATGACTGATGCCATAAAGAATAACGAAGCTATCAGAATTGGGTAGGCATAGTTGGAGAGGGGATGTTCTTCTTAGAAATGAATTTTTCTTATTTTAATATTTTATTCAAGTGTTTGGTGGGCAAGGTACTAATACTAAGCCCTCTTGAGGAATATTGTGATGAGCAAGCATACCTTCAAGTAAAGTATGGTCTTGTTGAGAAAATAAGACACACACATGAAACAGCAGTTCAGGACACCATGGTAGTTAAGGGCCAGGGCTCTAGAGTCAGAAAACCCTGGGCACCATGGACTCCTGCACTTACTGGCTATGGAACTTTGAATAAGTTAGTCAACTTCTCACTCATCAGTCAAATGAGGGCAATAATAGTCCCTACCTCATGGGGCTAGTTGAGGATTAAATTAAATAAATTATGGCACATAATAAATATTCCATGAGTGTTAGCTATTATATTATAAGCTCTTTACTCTGGAGGTTTCAGGTTCAACTAGACAGTTTACACTGATACAGCTGTGATAGACCATACTTAGCAATGGCTTTTCTTACTCAGAAGGAAATACAGGATGCTAACAGGACAGCAGCAGGTACTCTTCTTCAGTGAGAGTTTTCACAGGAGTTTACATAGCACTCCAGGGGCTATTCTCTGGAGCCTCAAGTAATAGCTCAGCTGTGGGGAATGAAACTATGACTCATGGGTGCTTAGAGGCCTCATGGACCCACTAAAGGCCGTATCTCTTATAATGGCCCAAACAGGCATCACTTTCAGGCTCTGCAAGAGGCATGACCTTTTACAAGAATGATTATACCCAAGGAAGCCCAAATCTGTGGCTTACCACCAGTTCATTCAGTTTTACCAGTCCAAATTCAATTTCCCAAGCAGAGGTTATTCTTAGCATAAGCAAAGAAGTTTGGCTAAGTGGAGTAGGGAGGATTGAGGTGGGGGCAGTAGACATGGGTAGATGAAAAGCACATCTTTGTTTTTAAAAAAACTGTACAGACTTTCAACATGATATATTCCAGATTTGTAGAAATCTTGTTCACTGCTGCTTGGCTGATTGACTGATTGATTTTGGCAGAAATAGCAGTAAGCCAACTGGATCAACTGAGCCCAGAGGAACAGTTGCTGGTCAAGTGTGCTGCAATCATTGGGCACTCCTTCCATATAGATTTGCTGCAGCACCTCCTGCCTGGCTGGGATAAAAATAAGCTACTTCAGGTGTTGAGAGCTCTTGTGGATATACATGTGCTCTGCTGGCCCAACAAGAGCCAAGAGCTTCCTGCTGAACCCATATTAGTGCCTTCCTCTATCGACATAATTGATGAAACCAAAGAGAAGAAAACAAAGTTAGGTAAGGAAGGGCTGTTCCCTTTTACTCAGGTCTGAACAAAGAGTCCCTGTGGGGGTATCTGTGTTCAGAAAGACCATCAGTATCATATATCAAGGGGTTCTCTCATTCGTTTGTTTAAAGATGGAGTTTTGTTATGTTGCCCAGGCTGTAACTCCTGAGCTCAATGGGTGCATACCACCACACCCAGTTTGAGGGTCTCTCTCTCAAAGCCTATGGCTAAGAAACAGAAATAAAATTATCATTTAAACCATGAAGGAGACATGGATATAGTGAAAAAATATCCTGTATTTTTCAGACTTGTCTTCATTTCAGGAATTCTAGCTCCTTTTTAACCCAGGTGTTAGTATTTGTGTTTTGATTTTTGTTCAGAAAATATTGACATAATCTTTTATTGGCTTCTAGGTACAAATAATGAGATAAAAGGATAAACCATCCCCAATTTTAGAAACTCACAAGGAAGACAAACACATGTGGAATTGAAACAGACATGAACAAAGCAAGATATAAATAGCTTGCAATCTCAGATTCTCCACATGAAAGAAAAAGATTGTAACATGGACTACCCAAAGCACATATAATTCACAAATACTTTCCCTTTGACTTTGAAATATGTTTGGGCCCTATATTTGAACAGAGCATTTCCTATGATTTGACATTTGTAATAATTTGAAGTAAAATCTCAATTTAGGAGAAACAATTAAGAAATCAGTGGTATAGAAGTACAGGATTTTTTTGTACCACTGATCATTTCTTCTCTGTTGTACTTTATACAAGATATGGTCAGTATCACTCTCAGAATGGTACAAAATTTTTTATACAAAGGAGGCAGTAATATTAGCCTAGGGTTGTAAATAGAATTTTCTTACACACTAGCAGCCATGTGCTTGAGAGTTTGCCATATTGAAGCACAAAGGATTATAAGGGAAAATCTCACTTAGATTTTCCTAAATTTCAGATGGTGGTTCAGCCTCTCTTCTCAGGCTAAAAGAAGAATTATCCCTACCTCAAACTGAGGTGTTGGAATTTGGAGTGCCTCTACTACGGGCAGCTGCTTGGGAGCTCTGGCCCAAGGAACAACAGATAGCTTTACACCTCGAATGTGCCTGCTTTCTCCAAGTTTTGGCCTGCCGCTGTGGGAGCTGCCATGGAGGAGACTTTGTCCCCTTTCATCGTTTTGCAGTTTGCTCTACTAAGAATTCCAAGGGGACCTCTCGATTCTGTCCTTACAGAGATACTGGCTCAGTGCTAACACAAGTGATCACAGAAAAATTGCAGCTGCCTTCTCCCCAAGGTAAACCCAGGAGGCAGAAAGAGGATATATGGGTATTCATGTACTTGGAATTCTTCATCAAAAAGTTGAAATCAGATTAAAGGAGAAAAACAGGTAGAAAGAACCACTTATTTATTCCTTAAGTACTAGAGATTTTAAAAAATGTAATCTCAGAGTTAAAGACTACCTTAGAGATCATATTTGTTCTGATTGGCAATCTTGGGCAAGTTACTTAACCTCAATCAAATGGGGACAGTAACAATACCAACTTCACGGGCCGGGTGCAGTGGCTTACACCTGTAATCCCAGCATTTTGAGAGGCTGAAGCAGGCGGATCACTTGAGGTCAGGAGATTAAGACCAGCCTGACCAACATGGTGAAACCCCCTCTCTACTACAAATACAAAAATTAGCCAGGTATGGTGGTGGGCGCCTATAATCCCGGATACTCAGGGGGCTGAGGCAGGAGAATCGCTTGAACCCGGGAGCCGGAGGTTGCAGTGAGCTGAGATTGTGCCACTGCACTCCAGCCTGGGCGACAGAGTGAGACTCTGTCTCAAAATAAATTAATTAATTAATTAATAATAATATCAACTTTACTGGGACATTGTGGGTATTAAATTAGTTAAAGTACGTAGCCTGCTCTGAACAGTGCCAGACATACGGTGATTGCTCAATACCCTTTAGCTACTGTTTTGATTATTACTATTATTTTTCAGCTCAGTACACACATATTGAATCCTTATGTGTGTCAGATTCTATACCAAGGAATATGGTGTGAATAAGCCTTGCTCTTTGCACTTCTGAAGCTATCTGTTTTGGGGGTTACTACAGACATATAGATAGAGAATTCTAGTATGGCATGGTAAAAGCAATGAAAATGAGACGGGGCCATTAACTCAGCTGGGGAAATAGGTCAGTAAAGATTCTCCTTTGAAGTAGATAATGTCAGAATTGCGTCTTGAGGGATAAGTAGGAGTTAGCTACCTGAAGAAGGTTTTATTGGTTAATAGATACTCACCATAGCCTGTTAAACATATGAGGTCATTCCTCTTTGTTTAGCCTTTTCAGTTAGCTTACCTTACAGAACAACTCATCATCTCCAGCTGTCAGAAAGTTTCTCTTTCATCAGGATGTAAGCTGCCTCCTTGTAGCTTCACCCATTTTTCATAGTTATACCTTCTTCCATACTTGAAGATAGCTATCAAGACCCAACCAAATCCTCTTTCCCTACTTTGATAAAAGGGAGTTGGTTTGGTATTGGGGGTGGGGTGATGGTATGTGGAAAATGGTAGATAGTTGTCGGCAAAAGGCTAAAATGAGGGATTTGGTGTATGATACAATTCTTCTTCTAGGTATAACATCATGACTGTGAAGGTGGACCAGTGACTTGGAGCAATTAGTCATTGGTTGATGAGCTCTATGTGCATTTGTACCTGTTGTGCTTTCCAAAGTCTGGTATTGTGAAGAAACTGTGCTATTGTTCATATTTCCTGTGTGACTTTTTTGCTTTTAAGAGGTCAGTTTTGGCTGGGCCTGTTGGCTTACACCTGTAATCCCAGCACTTTGGGAGGCCAAGGTGGGCAGATCACAAGGTCAGGAGATCGAGACCATCCTGGCTAACACAGTGAAATCCCGTCTCTACTAAAAATACAAAAAAGTAGCCAGGCATGGTGGCGGGCACCTGTAGTCCCAGCTACTCAGGAGACTGAGGCAGGAGAATGATGTGGACCTGGGTGGCAGAGTTTGCAGTGAGCCAAGATGGCGCCACTGCACTCCAGCCTGGGCAACAGAGCAAGACTCTGTCTCAAAAAATAAATAAATAAATAAATAAAAAGGTCAGGTTTTTGTTTGTTTGTTTGTTTGTTTGTTTTTGCTTTGGATTAGACAGCCTGGTCCATCCATAGGAAAAAGGCTCAAGACCTTCTCAGCCCAGCAGAACCCTGAGGAGGCTTCCCAGACCCGAGGCCTTTGTGCATTGCCATTGCAGACCCGGCATTGCCTGACTCCAGAGGGTACTATTACAGAGGCTATGATATGAGGGTGCCTCTTGGAGTTGTGTACTGCAGTAGAGCTGCCAATATCCTCAGTTATCTTAGCTGTGATTTAACATCATTATCATCAGCAAGCCAGTCCTTTTACTTAACCCAAGTTCTCCCTAAAACAGTCCTCTTAGACTCCTTATCAATCCCACCATCCATGCTGTGAGTTGCAATGGGTAACATCTCAACATCATTCCTAATATTTGCTGTTATCTGTTAGAAGGCAGCTTCAGAAGAAGAATCAAATCTGTAGGATAAAGGCTATTTAAAAACCTGCTACATAAAGCTGGAAAGCTCTCTTGGTCACTGACTAGGGAACTGTGGTATCTTATACTATCACAATTTTCTTCACTTGGTTTTAGCCTTTACAGTTCACTCTGATCTAGTCATGACCCTGATCCATATGTATTCAGGGATTTCCACTACTAGAAATAGCCAGCAAACCAGGATGGACACATTCTTTATTTTTCCTTCATCTTGAAAATACTGAGTGCCTCCTTCAAAATCAGAACTTGTTTGAAGGTTTGGGAATGATGAGAGTTACTATTTGAATCACAAGTAGTTGTGAAGGAATTTACAAACTACCATCCTAATTTTGTGTTGTAAACTGCAGAAGAAAGGTAGTCAAGAATTTAAAATGTCCTCAGTTCATCCAAACATGGAGAATTAATCATATTTTTTTTCTCCCTACAGATAGTTTTCCATTCCAGATGAAACCATCCAGAACTCAGGAGGCCTTCTCAAGTGAATGCTGCAGGTAGACAGAAATGCTGAGGGTGAACATGGAGGGACCAAAAGTGACAGAAAGATGACCATTAAACTGAGCCACTTATGTCACTTGCAGTTGAGGAGTGGTGACTCTTGTACTAAGCCCAGTATTAAGGTTAACAGAGAATATTTGGAAAGGCAATTTTTGATTCTCTATAGGGAAATTATTTCTTTTTTTTTTTCTTTTTCTTTTGTTTTTGTTTTTTGTTTTTTGTTTTTTGTTTTGAGACAGAGTCTCACTCTGTTACCCAGGCTAGAATGCAACGGCGTGATCTTGGCTCACTGCAACCTCTGCCTCCCGGGTCAAAGTGATTCCTGCCTCAGCCTCCCGAGTAGCTGAGACTATAGGCGCGTGCCACCACACCCTGGTAATTTTTGTATTTTTAGTAGAGATGGAGTTTCTCCATGTTAGCCAGGATGCTCTCGATCTCCTGACCTCATGATCCGCCCGCCTCAGCCCCCCAAAGTGCTGGGATTACGGGCATGATTCACCACGCCTGGTGGGAAATTTTTTTTTAATGGTTAAAAAAAATTTTTAAAAAACCTTTTTTTTTTTCTTTTTTTTTTTTTTTTTTTTTGAGATGGAGTCTCTGTCGGCCAGGCTGGAGTGCAGTGGCACCATCTCAGCTCACTGCAACCTCCGCCTCCCAGGTTCAAGCAATTCTCTTGCCTCAGCCTCCCAAGTAGCTGGAGTTACAGGTGCCCGCCACCACGCCTGGCTAATTTTTGTATTTTTAGTAGACACGGGTTTTTGCCATGTTGGCCAGGCTGATCTTGAACTCCTGACCTCAGGTGATCCACCAGCTTCAGCCTCCCAAAGTGCTGGGATTACAGGCGTGAACCACCACACCCAGCCTTTTAATAGCTTTTAAGTGCATTTTATACGTAACATTTTTATTTCCAGCTATAGATTTGTCTTCTTAATTATTTTAGCCCAGATGATATTAAAATGAACATACATTTCCTAACCATGTACCTCCTGGATCTCTATTGCTTTTCAGTTTCAATGTCCCCACCTGGAGTTCACCAGCCACTCTATATACAGTTTCCCATCCCACTTATCTAACTTGATTTCTTACTGTTTTCAAACAAAAAACTGTTTTGAAACAAAAATTTCAAAAAAAATCAAAAAAAATTTCTTACTGTTTTCAAACAAACAAAAAGACACACTAACCTGTGTGTCTTTGCTCACACAATTCTCCCTTGTTAAATGCTGAGTGACCTGCACATCTCTCCACCTATCAGTATGTTGACCATCCTTCAAGGCCCTCCTCAGTCTCCACTTTTTTAGATCATTATAGCTTAGAGAGATCTGACTTTTGAGCTCAGCGTGCCTGTGAAAAGTACACTAGATTAGAAGTCAAAGTGGTAAGCTCTAGTTTTGGTTCTACTTCTCAGTACGAAGCTATATGTAATTTCTCTGAGCCTCAATGACCTAAAAGAGGTAATTTTTGCCTGCCTGAATGAGAGAGTTGTTGTAGGATTAGATGATGATATATAAAATAATATTAAAATGTGGTATTAGAAAATTCAAATATGCTATCAGAAAAAATGTATTATTATTGCTTTGTATCATTTTTATGTTTTATTTAACATTTAGATTGTTATTTAACTATTCAAGTGTGGTATTTCCCCATTTAGATTGAGCTATTTAGATTGGCTTTCAGCTTTTAAAAAATCCTAATAGAGCTTTGCAGTTACAGCTCTGGTCCCTGACTTTTAAAATTTTATGGAGTAATTGAGGAGAAGGATAGACAAATAATTAATGAATGATAAGGAAAGCTTCCTGGAAAAAGTGACTTTGAGACCTGGTAATGCCCCAATAAAGGTGGCCACTCTCAGTTTTTCATTTTCTTTCCACAAAGAACAGAGGAAGAGTTCCTAGATCAAGTGAAGAGGAAGCTGGCTCAGACCAGCCCTGAGAAAGACCTGTTGACCACAAAGCCTTGTCACTGTAAGGATATCCTGAAGTTAGTGCTCTCACCCCTCACCCAGCATTGCTTGGTCATTGGAGAAACGACCTGTGCATTTTATTACCTGCTGGAGGCTGCGGCTGCCTCCTTGGACCTGTCAGATAATTATATGGTGAGCAGGCTCTGCAATCTGCCCTTCAGCTGAGCCTTTTACTTTGAGAATTTGATTGAGATCTCTTACAATCATAACCATGAGTGAAAAGTGGAAGAAAGTAGGAGAGAGAGAAGAGCTAGAAAGGATTTAGGAAAAAACATGAAGTGGGAATATGGTAGTGGAATAGCACCAACCCGTGCTGGCACTGCCCCTGACTCTTGCACAAGCAGTCCAGCTCCTGTTTCTAGCTTGAAGTCCAAATCTGTTCCAAATTCTGATCTTGACCCTCATCATAACTTTACTCCAGCCTCTGCCCTAATCACACCAGCATCATCCTAATCCTAATCTGGTTTCTTTATCCCTTGCCCTGTTTGGAGGCCTTCTTTTATTTAAGGAAGGCAAGCAGTCTTCTGGGCCAACCCTCAGCATTTTCATTTTTGAAAAAACACAAGGTGAAGATCTGTCAGTTTGAGGAGGCTACTTTCTGCCGTCTTCTGTCAGAGGTGAGGACAGGGGTGACCTTGAAGTGCTGGCTATTTCTCCTTGAGGATTACCCTATTATTTCTTTTAAAATCTCTTCATTGTTTTTTGTGTATGATTATAAATGTGATAATGTGATAAAAGATTTATTCACATTTAAAATATAGAAATATATAATAGGTAGAAAGTGAAAGAGCTCCCACTAATCCTACACCCCCCCACCATAATTAATAATTGTATGCATGTTCCACCAACTGTACACACACAGCCATATCATTGTTTTCCATTATTTTTTAATAGGATCATATTCTACATTTTCTTGTTCCTGCAGTTTGCTTTTATTCTTAATAGTACAGACAGAACCTATTTACATATTGGTGTGCATACCGATCCACCACATAGTTACAACTGCCAAGTACTCCATTGGCTAGATCATAGCTTAGCTCTTTCCTTCTTCAGGTGCATTTAGGTTATCTCTATTTTGGGGATTATTATAAACATTGCTACAGTGAATATTCTTCTTAAGTATCTCTTTCTCTCCTTGTGAGAGTGTTTTTGTAAGAGAAATTTCCAAAGGTGGCAATGCTAAGACACAATTTTAAAATTCATAAATACATCACCAAATTGCCAAACAAAAATATTATATCAACTCAAGTTTTTCCCATTTCCTCATATCCTTATTAACATCAGATACTACCAGTCTTTTCTAACCTTGCTAATTCCTAGACAAAGTTATATTGTTTTAATGTGTTTCTCTTAATTAATAAGGTACATCATTCTTCTAGGTTTATTGGTCATTTGTATTTTTTTGTGAATTATCCATTCATGTTTATTGAAGTGGATATAAACTAATTTGCTCATTGGAGTATATGTAAACTAATTTTAATGTAAACCTTAAGATAATTTGGTTAGGATAGTAAACTTAAGGTACATAATGTCTTGAAGGCCAAAGGGAGTATTAGAGTTGTCACATTGTTGTGTTATTTATGCTTCAACCAAGAGGTCTTCAGAGCAAAGTTAAATAATTATTCTTTCCCTTTATAAGTGAGAGTTATTGTACAGTCCTCCTAAGATTGTTCTTTGTTCTAGAATCACATAGACTTTATCACTTTCTTGAGGGATTCAGCCTTAGAATGTGAAGATATAGGATAACTTCAAGGTAGTTCCCCAGCTCCCACCCCACATCTACTGTGAGTCAACCTATTTTGGAAGAGAGAGAAAGGATTTGGTGATATTATAGATGCTTTCTATGTCATGTGAGAGCATCTGAGTCTCCACTCAAATGACGATCCCTTCTCAGTCTAGCAGCATCACATTTTAAATCACAGCCTTCCTCTACTGCCCACTGACAAATGTGTAGGAGATGAGAAAGGAGGATACTTTCTCCATAATCCTACTTTCTCAACCCTTTACTCACTTATGGCCATACTGGTGCTTGCTAGGGTGACTGCTAACCAGGCTATGCTCTAGCTCAGCTCACTCTTAGCACCTCAGTAACCCCAACTACACAACTCAAAATGAAAGAGCCAGTGTGTTGTATCCAAAACCTTGTATTTACATTAATTCTTCTTATTTTCCCATCTCCAGGTCTGTTTCAACATGGGACACATCACTTTAGCCAAAAAATTGGCTAGGAAAGCCCTTCGGCTGCTGAAAAGGAATTTCCCTTGGACCTGGTTTGGTGTCCTTTTCCAGACATTCCTGGAAAAGTATTGGCATCCCTGTACCCTGAGCCAACCTCCAAACAACCCTAGTGAGAAGTGAGAAGGCTTCCTAAGACTGTAGTTAACTAGCCTGAGCTTTGCCTTTTTGACCTAAAACTACTCTTTTTCTATCAAATAATCTTCAAGCATCTAACAGACAAGCAGATAACAAGATATATAACAGTCAGCATATATATATATATATGTATACATATATATATATTTGTTACATGCATATATATGTATATACATGCATATATATATATATGCATGTAACAAATAAGTATATAACATATAGTTCTAACTCTTCCACCTTACTCCCCCAGCCAATTACATGTAGCAAATAGGGATTTAAAGAATGAATCTTTTTTTTGAAACCTCTCTCTGAACTTTTCCTGATCAAGAGGGATTAATTAAAATGGCATATGCAGTTGGGAGTAGTGGGAACCAAGGACTATTTCTGAATTTGGACATCTGTAGATGGCCCCATGATGAGTAGACTTGGAGCTCTTGTAGGGAGGGAACTTTGGGCATTAGTAAAGAATAAGGGTGTGCTAACCACCCTGTGCCTTGCAACAGTAAGAAGAATTTGGCAGTTCTGCAGCAGCAGGTGCATTGTCTGTCCCTACTCTGGCAGCTCTATAACCTGGAGGCCACAGCCAGTAGCTACAGGTTTGCCTGCCTGGCTACTCTTATGCAGAAGAATTCAGCCGAGGAGTTTGCAAATGAAGCCCAGGTAAGCAGGTCCTTGCTTTACCTTTGGACCTCACTCAGAAACCAAGTTCCTGGTTTAGCATGGTTCTCCAATAACCCAGACAACGCTGATCATGTGTTCAAGTGAGGTTTCTCAATTTCCAGTTTATACCTGGGTTTCCAGGTATGCGATTATCTGTGAACTCCCAGAACTGAATGCAGAATTTTATGTGTATATTCAAAAGAACCTTTGGGGGCTGGCAGGAGGAAGAAAAGAGGTCATTGCTTTCATCAGATTCTCAAAGAAGCCTGTGATCTAAAAAAGATTTAAAACTGCTGATTTAGGAAAAAAGAAAAAGGAAATATGTCTTCCTCATTTTAGTGTCTTACCTTTCTCTCTGTCTTATCCACATATTCAACAATGAACCATTTGGTGAACACCTATTATATGCCAGGCACTGATCTTGACTCCAGGGAAATATAATAAGTAAAATATACAGTATGTTAGGTGATAATCAATGCAGTGGAGCAAAATAAAGTGGAGGCAAGGGGATATAGAGTTCTGTGAGGTGAGGGGTGGGGTATAGTTTTGAACAATGTGGCCAAAGAAAGCTTTGCTGAGCAGGTGACATTGAAGTAAATATCTGAAAGAGGCAAGAAAGTCAGACTGTCTGGGAGTAGAGTATCCAGGCAGAGGGCACAGTGAATGCCCAAGGCATATCCTCTGTGTTTGAAGGACAGTGTGACTGAAGGGGAGGAAGAGGAGGAGAGTGAACCAAGAGATGAGGTCAGAAGGACCGGGAAGGGGTGGGGTGGCAAATGGTGCAGACCCTAGATAGGCCACTGTGGGAGTTTTGGCTTTTACTCTGAAAGAGATGGGAAGCCATTAATGGGTTCTGAGAAGAGGGGTGACAGTATCTACTTATATTTTAATAAGATCATTCTGTCTGCTGTGTTGAAAGTAACATGAAGGGGACAAGGGAGGAAGCAGGGAGACCAGTTAGGAAGCTAATGCAGTAATCTAAGCAAGAGATGGTGATGGCTTTGATTATTGTGGGGAAAAAAGGTTGGGGGTTTAGAGGCAATAGGATTCACTCATGGATCAGTTCTGGGATGTGAGAGAAAGAAGAGTCAAGGATAATCCAAAAAGTTGTGACCCAAACTTCTAGAGGGACAGAGATGCTCTTTAATTGGGATAGGGAAGTCTGCAGGAAGAACAGATTTGGGGGAAGGTTTGGGAGCTAGGTTTTAGACATGTTTTATTTGAGATGCCCATTAGACATCGAGGTGGAGACAAGTCTGGTGAGTATGAGTCCAGGTGAATATTCAAGCCTGGGGTTCATGGGAGAGGTCTGAGCTGGAAATAGACATATGGGAACCATCAGTGTGCAAATACTGTTTAAAGTCACAGGACTGTGTGAGAACACCAAGGGAATTAGTATAAAAAAGTTCCACGGACTTTGTTAACAGCTCCAGTGTTAAAAGGTCAGAGTGGCGAGGAGAAACCAGCAAAAGAAACTGAGAATAAGTTGCCAGGGAGACAGGAGGAAAACCAACAGAGCCTGGCATGCTGGAAAGCTAGGAAAGACAGTGTTCCAAGAAGAGAGCACTATTTCAAGTGCACACATAGTTATATAGAACACTATTTCAGATGTGCACATAGTTACATAGAGATCTAGGCAGCAGCCTTGAAGAGCTCTATGGAGCAAATATCAGAGGTCTTAAATTAGAAAACAAAGAAGAGGTAGTTTAATCAGTGTTCCGAAAGGGAAAGTCATGGATTGGAGAGGAAAAGCAGGAGCATGTAGAGAAAGTGGTTTGTTTAAAGAACAGGCAGTGAGAATGATCCAGTTAGAAGTGTAGGGGTGAGAAGGAGCATATTTTTCTAGCTGGGTTGGAGGCAAGTTGTGGGATACCAGGAGTTTAGACTGAGTGAGCAGCAAGGCATCATAATAGGCTCTTACATAGGAAAGGAACAAAATGGAACTGTTACATGAATGTACAATGGGAATATTTTGCCCTGTGTTTGTTTCCCTGCAGGTTGTCTCTACCTATGTGGAGCTCTCTCAGTTCTCCCAGAGCATGGGCATCAAGGACAAGTGGCTGCACTGTGAGCAGATGGCCATTCAGAAAAGCAGTTTATGTTGGTTCTCCAGGGAGGGATTGTTGGCCACAGCTCAGCTCATGCAGGCCCTGGCCTACACCAAGCTCTGCCTTGGCCATCTTGACTTCTCCATCAAGCTGGGTAAAGGAACTTAGGGATGGTGGGTCTAGGGCTTTTAGAGAGTACATGTTCACAGCTGGACCTCACACGGTACTCTTGAACCTCTTCAGGTTTTCAAGCTCGTGAGATATGCAGACACCTCAAGAAACCAGCTCTGGAGAATCTGGTTCTCTCAGTTCTCTTCAGATCTGCATTTCTGAAGAAGAAGTATTAAGATCATTTTCTATCATTTGTATTTGTTTCCTAAGAGGGGTGTGTATATTTTCCCAGAGAAGTTTGGAGTGGAGAGGGAGATGCTATTCCATTTCCACACCCCGGGATATCCTTCCCTTGGCCACTCCAGACACATTATCTTAAGTGTGGAAGAATCAGGAGTGGAAATGCAGAGTCAGAGCTACTATATATTCCTCAGCACTTGGGGGCTCATGGACAAACTTTCTTCAAAAAAAAAAAAAAAAAAAAAAAAAACTCTGCAGGGAGATAGAGAATTGCAGCAGCTGAAGACCCTGGAAACTGCCTCAGAGGCAGTCTCCCACCTCCTTTGCCTAGAGATAGGTCTGATCCCAGGCATAGATGTTCTTTATATAAATAGAGCTATGAAGAGATCTAAAGGATGTTAGGCTGCTTTGAAGGTGTAAGACCCCTTCCTTTCCTACCCATCCTCCTCACTCCCTAGCTGGTCCCAGTGGCTCTGTCTCTTGGCAGATTTGGTCTGTGTGTCCATGTACTGGAGAGTCAGTGGGCGCTCATTTCTCAGGGTTATGATGTCCTTGGCCTGGCCTGCTTTTACTCTGCTTGCTTAGATCTGCTGCTCTACGGAAAAGGTAAATCTTGCACAGGTCTCTGCTGTACTCCTGAGGGATTCAGACCTCAGATGGGGCTCTAGGTTTGGAATACAGGCAGTCATGAACCTGTCCCTCAGGCATGGCCTCTGCCCCTGACCTCTGGCTCCTTAAAGTCTGGGAACCATGTTGTGATTCAGGGGTGTCTGCCTTTGGGGTCTTGTTTCCTTCCCTGTATCACATACCTTCTATACCCTGGTTCCTACACTGATAGTATATACTAGCGTGGTTACCTTCTCTGTCCACAGGATTGCTGTTTCGGCCCTTTAGTGAGTGTCTGCGTTTCGTTCAAATCTATGAGCACAGCCGTGTTCTGACCTCTCAGAGCAATGTCATGCTGGGGGTCCACTCCTCCCTGGCCATGTGGTAATGTCTTACTCAAGGGTTGTGGAAAAGGATAAACATTTAAGTCATTTAAGCTGTCTCTCCCCACCTGACAGGACTGTTGAACATGTCTAACCAACTTTTAAAGACCATTCACCTCCCATACCCTCCCATCTTATTAAAAGGGCTTTTGTCCTTTAACAGGTTTTGGCCTGTAGGTCAAGCGTTACATTTAGGGTTACGCTTAACTGCTAGAGTAACCCATAGCAAGGCTGAATATAATTGGTCTCTTTTTAAGTTTCCTTGTATGTGAGTTAGTAGCCTTGATCACTTTCTAGCATCACAATTCTGACTGTCCAGAAGGTCTTAGAGCCTTAAAGAAGTGACAATTTTAAGCAAAAGTCATGGTTGGTAAGCAGCAGATATTGCTGAGAGCTATTACTCTTTTCCTCCAGGTTTGCCCAGGAATCACAGTGGGACCTGTTTGAGCACTATTTCTCCAAGGCTTGCCAGTTGGTGAAAAGAACCAATGCTTCGCTATTTGGTGCACATGGCTTTGTCCGATTCCTAGAGTGCCATGTGCTAATGTTACAGAAAATACCAGAGGGTATCTTCATGCACATTCCTCTAGAGCTTCGCAGCCAAACCCTTGAGGTACCTGTTTCTCAGCTGTCCTTCAACTAACACCTAATTCACTTAGTTCTACCCTGTGATGCTCTTTCTACCACCTGCATCTCTTCCTTGTTTTCCCTTTTACTGGTTCTATCTCCCTTTACTCTTTGAATCCTTTGTTTCTCCACCTAGAAAGCTTCCACCTACCTTAGGTATCCTTCCAGATATTATTGCATCTAGTTCTGGACTGGGTTTCTTTCCACCTTTGCCAGCTACTACCCAGTATCATTAAAATATTAACATTTAGCCTTGCTCAGTGGACCTGTACTCTATGGTTCAGTCTGTAATTTGACACATCTCCCTACAGCCCTTCTGAGTCTAAAACACTTTGCAATTCCTCTGTATCCCAAAACCAGTTTTCCAGGCCTATTTTGCCATCAGTAACTCCTCCCTGTTCCCTCAGCCATGAGTGAATATGCTGAATGAGGACCTTTGTAAGTTCTGATGAAGTGGCATGTTAGGAGAATGATGCACTAATCCCAGAGCTAATGGACCTTCCTTTCCTTTCAGTACTTTAAGGAGTTCTTCTCTCGATGTGTGACCTGCCCTGTCTATCACCAGTGGGTATCTGAGCTTAAGGCCTCTGTAATGAGATGTGAAAAGAGAGAATTCATGTCCCTGACTAACAGCATCAGACCTTTTGACACTTGCTTGACCAGGATTTGGATAAAAGGAGAATTTCTGCAGGAAAATAACTCTTAGAAAAGAAATTTAGGAATACAGAGTAAGCATTTCTTCCTGGAACCCTTGTGTGAGAGACATAAAGACAGTCTCAGATTCTTACTCATGAGCAGTCAAAGGCTGCACTTCTGAAGTAAAAAGGGACACACAGATGTAAGGAGTTAGTCCTTGCTCCAGAGGTAAGTATAATCCTCTTCCTAATGCTAGGCCCTGCCTGGACAGATAGGAATCCCTTCTATTGTTAAACAGCAATTTCTTCAGCTTCTCTCAGCTCTTTGTTTCAGTATTGGTAACCCTTAGGCATAGAAAGTTCCTCCTTGCTTTTAGCCAAAGCAATTGGGTTGTTTCCTTGGAATAACTGGATGGTCACTAAGGAGAGAAAAAGGTCTTAGAAGTCACAATGTAATGTCTGTGAAGGTGAATGATAACATTAGGCAAGAAAAGGAGAGGAAAGAATATAGTTCCTTTCCTCAGAGCCCTGCAAATGTCCTTCTTTCCCAGGGCCGCTATTTAACTTTGTAATTGCTGAGGACATTCTTTGTATTTATCACATTCTTTATGTTCCTTCTTTCAGGATTTAACAGAGTGGCTGATGTCAAGGAGAACAAGGATGCAGAAGAAACTCAAGATGTATGTGTTAAAAGAACAATAACCTGAAGGGACCATGATTCTCTTATTGTATATAACACAAGGAAATGCCCCAGATTCTCCTTTTAAATATATAGTGTACATATTAAGTATACTAGCCTTTATAGTTACTGCTATCTATATGTTTATCAAAATAAAAGACTATTTTTTTCTAAAACATGCCACTTAGATTTTTTTAACTCTTAAAAGTCATTAGCACAACTCTACCAGAAGTTAAAACCAGGAATAGACGGGAGGCCTGGAAGGCTTTAAGATGAACTGATTCCATCTTTTGTAAGGTGAGGTCCATTAGCAGATGAAAAACTATGACCCTAATAAAGAAACTGCCATTACTTAAGGAGGGCTGGTAGTGCGAGTGCCTTTGTGTTGCCCTCTTTTGGCACAGATTTGATAATGGGCTCCTAAGAAGTCAAGGAGTCTTTTGAGAGGTACAAAGGGTTGTGGGAATCCATTTCTCCTTTGTGCTGTGTGATTTGGCCATTCCCAGGTAAAATTGCGAAGTTGCCAAAGTATGTGTAACTTTAGCTTTCTCCCTTTTTCTTCTCTTTGGAGTTGCCATCTTTGGCCTTTATCTATTTGATGGTGTTTCTTCCACTGAGTATGATCTTCCCATTGATTTCTTACACTTTGTAACTCAATCATCTAGTGTCCATAGAGTGAATTTGCTAATGTTATGATAGCTGCAATTCGTTATTTACTTACTTGTGCTTGAAATACATTGTTTAAATCCTATATCAATTCTGTGAGTCAAGTACTATTATTATCCCATATTACAGATGAAGAAATGGAAGCCTAGAAAGAGTTTACCCCAACAAACATAGCCACAAAATGATAGAGCTGAGCTTCTAACTCAGATTTGATTCCAGAGATTATGCTAGGCTATGTAGGCTTTCATGGGAACTGGGCTTTCCTGTACCCAGTCTTTACTATTCTCTTCAGATGGCCAAGATCAGAACTTTAAGGACAGGAAGGGAGACGTTTATGAAAGGGAGGCCTGCACTTACCCTTCAAATCATGCAATCTAATCTATACATTTCCTCCTTCCACTTTTCTCCCTCTTGCTACCTTTCTTTTTCCTGTCCCTCTATTCCCTTCATCTTCCCCCTTGCATTCCTCCCATCTTACTCCTTCCTTTCTTCTTCTCACCCACTTTCTGTCCTCCTCCCTCATTCCTTTAAATTTCTGGGAGGTAATACAGAGTAGCAATCCAGACGAGGACTCTGGAACCAGATAGGCTCGGTTGAAATTCTAACTCTGCTGCTTATTAGCTGCATTCATTTGGGCATATAATTTATCCTTCTATATGCCTCAGTTTCCTTTTCTGTAGATGGAGATAAAATATCCCCTTGTCCTAAAAATAGGACAAAAGACTGTCAATGTGAAGATTAAATGATTATAATGCACCTGGCATATAGTAAGCACTCAGTGACTGGTAGCTATTATTATTGGTTCAGCTTTTATATTTAAAAGTAGATGTTACATTTATGTGGTAGAAAATTCAAAAGAAACAAGTGTATAACAGTGAAAAACTCTTTCCCATCTCTGTCTTCCAGACACCAGTTGCCCTCCCCAGAGATAATCAGTGTTACCACTTCCTTGTGTACCCTAGCAAAATTATTCTATGCACATGTAAGCAATAGTATATAGTTACTGCATCCTTCTTTCCCACAAATGGTGGTGATAGGTAATAACACCCTGCAGTACTTCATCCTTTTTTTTTTTTTTTTTTTTTTTGGCATTCTCTTTTGGCACTTTTTTATTGAGAAAAAATTCACCCTTTTAAGGTATACAATTCGGTGCTTTATAGTATATTTGTAAGACTGTACAATCATCACCACTATCTAATTCCAGAACATTTTTATCACCCCAGAAAGGAACTCTGGTCCCATTAGGAGTCACTCCCCATTTCCTCTTTCCCCAATCTTTGTAACCACTAATATATTTTCTGTCTTTAAAGATTGGCCTATTCTGGACATTTCATATAAATGGAATTATTATACATGGCTTTTTCTTTCAGTTAGCATAATGTTTTCATGGTTTATTTATGGTGTAGGGTTACTCTTTATGGCCAGGTAACATTCCATTGTACCACATTGTGGCACATGATGCCACATTTTATTTATCTGTTCATCAGTTGGTGGATACTTAGGTTGTTTCCAGTTTTTAACTATTGTTATAAATAATGCTATGGTAAACATTCATGTACAAGTTTTCGTGTGAACATAGGCTTTCAGTTCTCTTGAGTATATACCTATCTTGGCACTTCCAGGAATTTCCAGGTCATACAGAAATTCTGCGTTTAACTTTTTGAGGAACTGTCAAACTGTTCTCCAAAGCCTCTGTACCATTTTACATTTTCACCAGCAATTTCCACAGCCTAGCCAACACTTGCTTTTGTTTGTCTTTTTTATTATAGCTATCCTAGTGGGTATGAAGTGGTATCTTATGATGTTGATTTATATTTCCTTAGTAACTAATGATGTTGAACATCTTTTCATGAGCTTACTGGACACTAGTATATCTTCTTAGAGAATGTCTCTTCAGATTATATGCCCATTTTTTAATTGGAGTTTTTGCCTTTTATTGCAGCATATTACAAGTTTTAAAAATATATTCTGCATACTGGACCCTTACTGGGTTTGACTTGCAAATATTTTCTCCAATTCTGTAAGTTGTCTTTCCACTTTCATGATGAAATCATTTTGCAAAATATAAGTTTTTAATTTTGATGAAGTCAGTGTATCTATTTTTTAGTTTGGATCTTTGTGCTTTAAGTGTCATATCTAAGAAACTATCAACTAATCTGAGGTCACAAAGATTTACTCATGTTTTCTTCCAGGAGAGAAAAATCGACTTTTTATTTTGGCTTTTACATGTAGGTCTTCAATTTATTTTGAGATACTTTTTGTATGTCATGTAAGGTCATGTTACAAAATCATGCTTTTGCATGTGGCTATCCAGTTGTCCTAGCACCATTTGTTTTTAAACAAAATATTCTTTCACTCATTTAATTGTCTTGAGGCCCTTGTTGAAAATCAGTTGATCTTAAGTGAATGGGTTTATTTCTGGCCTCTCCATTTATTCTGTTGGTCTATATGTCTATCCTTATGCTAGTACCATACGGTCTTGATTATTGTACCTTTATAGTAAGTTTTACAATCAGGAAGTGTGAATCTTTCAACTTTACTCTTCTTCTGCAAAATTGTTTTGGCTATTCTGGGTCCTTTGCGTTTACATATGAATTTTAGGATTGGCTTATCGATTTCTGCCGAAAGGACAACTGTAATTTTGATAGGGATTGCATCAAATCTATAGATTAATTTGGGAAGAATTGCCATCTTAATAATACTAAGTCCTCTGATCCATGAAACTGGGATATCTTTTCCATATATTTAGGTCTTCTTTAATTTATTTCAATAATATTTTGTCATTTTGATGTATAAATATTAGACTTCTTTTGTTACATTATGCCTAAATATCATATTCTTCTTGATACTGTTATAAATGGAATTGTTTTCTAAATTTCATGTTTGAATTGTTCATTGCAAGTATATATAGAAATACAACTGATTTTTGTGTATATATAGTTTTCTTTTTTCTCAGACAAGTTAGATAATGTGTATTGATTTTGCATCCTGGAACTTTGCTGAACTTACTAGCTCTAAATTTTTGTTTTAGATTCCTTAGGATTTTACATATGCAAGATCATGTCATTTAAAAATAGATGCTTTTCTTTCTTTCTAATCTGGAATCCTTTTATTTCTTTTTCCTGTCTAATTTCTCTTTCTTAGAACCTTTAGTACAATGTTGAATAAACGTGGCAAAGAGTGAATATTCCTGTCTTGTTCCCAATCTTGGGGGAAAGATTTCAGTCTTTCACCTTTAAGTGTGCTGTATGCTTTTGATAGATGGCCTTTATCATCTTGAGGAAATTCCCTTCTGTTCCTATTTGTTGAGTATTTTTGACATGATATGGTGTCAGATTTTGTCAAATGTTTTTTTGGCATCTGTTGAGGTGACCATGTGGTTTTTGTCCTTTGTTCTATTAATATGGTATAATATCACATTGACTGATTTTTATATGTGAAATCAACTTTGCATTCCTGGGAAAAATCCCACTTTGTCATGGTGTATAATGCTTTTTATCTGTTACTGTATTCCATTTGCTAGTATTTTGTTGAAGATTTTTACATCTCCATTGATAAAGGATGTTGGTCTGTAGTGTTTTTGTTTTTGTTTTTTCTTGTGATTTCTTTGTCTGTTTTTTGGATTAAGGTAATACTGGCCTCATAGAATGAGTTAGGAAGAATTCTCTTCTCATTTATTTTTTAGAATAATTTGTAAAGGGTAGGTTTTAAAATTCTTTAAATATTTAGTAGCATTCACCAGTGAAGCCATCTGGGCCTGGGCTTCTCGTTGTTTTTTGTTGTTGTTGTTGTTGTTGTTGTTTTATTACTAATTTGACCTCTTTACTTGTTATAGATCTATTCAATTTTTTATTTCTTCTTGAGTCAGTTTTAGTAATTTGTGTCTTTCTAGGAATTTGTTCATTTCACCTAGGTTATCTTAATTTGTTGATATACAATTGCTCATAGTATTCCTTTATAATCCTTTTTCATTTCTTAATGCCAGTAGTTGTCCCTCCAATTTCATTCTGTATTTTAGTGATTTGAGTCTTTTTTTTTTTTTTCTTGGCTAGTGTAGCTTTAAAAGGTTTATTAATTTTGTTGATCTTTTCAAAGAACCAACTCTTGGTGGTGTTGATTTTTCTTTATTATTTTTCTGTTCTCTATTTCATTTCATTCATTTCTGTTCTAATTTTTATTCTTCCTTCTGCTTGCTTTGATTTTAGCTTACTCTTCAGTCTAGTTGCTTCAAGTAAAAGATTAGGTTGCTGTTTTGAGATCTTCTTCTTTAATTTAGGTGATTAAAGCTATAAGTTTCATTCTAAGCACTGATTTTGCTACATCCCATAAGTTTTGGTATATTGTGTTTATATTTTTATCTCAAAGTGTTTCTAATTCTCCTTGTGAGTTCTTCTTTAACACAGCTATCATTTAGAAGTATGTTGTTTAATTTCTACATATTTATGCATTTCTAAAATTTACCTCTGTTACTAATTTCTAATTTTTTTCCATTATGGTAAGAGA